AAAGCTCTGCGACAAGTTGCCTTGGGGCTGGTTTATACTTCTGCGTCAATTGATCAGCGTGACCCTTGGCACATGTATTGCGCGTTTTCATGCATTTATACTTCTGCTTGCTGTTTGTGTTGCCTTGCAGTAACACTTCCAAAAGACTAGTAGTCAGTATGTGTTTATGTTCCTCTGTGTCAAGTTTCTTTCCAGGTGTTTTGTTTTTTTTCTGAACGCTACAAGTAGCTCAAACTCGGTCATTCAGAGGTGGGAACCGGCTCTGTTTGGAGCTGATACAGAGTACTGGTTCCTTGTCATGGTGATCGGCCGATAGAGTACAGATTCTGATGCCTTAAGCTTTATATAACTTTTTAACATTGCATAAAGCACAGCTTCCCTATAAGTATGATACTTAAGTGGAGATATGTTATTTCCTAAGAGAATAAATGAAGGATGGTGGATATAATCCCTTAAACATGTCTCTTATAAACATAAAGTGTGGACACGTCATAGTCATGGTCAGCTTCAAAAATGACTAACAATGCAATTTGGAAACTTTGCAATTGATGGAAGTAGATTTCAACGTGCCTTGATGAAGAAAAAGTTTAAAGTGCATAGTTGATACATAAGAAGTTAAAATGTGTCTTCCTCTGCTTATAGACCTATAAACGAACACTTGTGATCAGTTCATGTCATCGGCTAGATTAGCGAGTACCGATTGAGTCATAAAATGTGATTATCAGCCGATCGATTAGAGCATACCTAGTAAACACACAAAAAAATTTCCTTCACGGGACTCGACAGTTGGAAACACTCTCTCCATCGTGCTTGTGGCTCTCAATGCCGGCCAAACTAGTCACAACTATCAAGCCGATCAATCACAGAGCTTGCGCACGACTAGGGCTAAGCGACCACGTAAAGGTTGCCCACGGACCATACGCGTACGCTTGGCGCAGAAGTATAAATCAGCCTTTAGTGTAAAAGTACAGGCTCATCTGGACTTATCTGTACACTATTCTTTCTTCTTTGGCGTCATCTTTTCAGTGAAGCATAATACTAGCAAGTAAGCTAGTGTAGGCTGCATTTAGTTTTGTGTCGAGTTGTTGTGTAATAAGCAGCATAACATACAGTACTTCACTTTAAATATCAGCACATAACTTGCAACCAGAAAGAGTAATACCTGGTGGAAACCGTTTTCCCCTTCCCTCTGCTCTTCAGGAAACGCTGCATCTCTTGATTTTGATTTTTTTTCCCTCTTCATCTGCTTCACAGGCCAGTTGGAATTGACGCAGAGGCAGCCAGAGGTGGGAATATTCCATTTAGTTTTGTTTTATAATTAAAAGAACAGACATTTACAATATTTTTATTGCAGGTGCAAAATGAAGTAACCCGAGGGAACAAATCCAGGTGACACTACCTGCTTGCGGATTCGCTGTGATGTTATGTCACCTTCCTAAATGTTTAAAACTCTATCACTCTCTGCTGTCCTTTTGGCTACTTCTGACAGAAAACATGGCTTTTTAAGAAGAAATTTTACAACTTTGACCGTTTGGAAGAAGAAAAGGTCATGAGGATTTAGTTTTTCTTTAGTGTTTATCACAATTTTTACCTTTTTATGGCAGTATTTCTTTATCTTTTGGGTACATGAATATGATTAAAAAAATGTGATTCTCAGCTAGAACTACTTTGCCATAATGTTTAATTCAGCAGCTGATACTTGAGATTTTTCCTCAACTTTCTGTCATGTACTTTTAGGCTCTCCGTGTAATTGAAGTTTGTAGTAGAGTAAGTGCTTAGTAGCCAACAGAAAACAGTTGTTGTTTTATATATTTTGTAAATTGTTCACCCAGTTTTGTCACTTTGCAAAAGTAACAATTCACGCTGTACACAGTAGGAAATAAAGTGATTTCTATGGAATGTCTGTTAAGTGTTGTTGAGAAAATGATGTAATCTTTACGTAACCCTTGTGCTTGGCATCTGCCTTGATGGGTCTCTCAGTAAGTGTTATAAATAGTTGACCCTGTAATTAGTAATATTAGTAGAAGCAGTTTAATATTGCAGCTGTGTCGCTGATGTTGCAAGAGCACAAAAAGTCAGTAAAATACTTTCACTAAAAGTGAAAATTAGCTGTTCATTAACTCCTCTTCAGGTCATCCAAGAGTCGACTTTTTGTCTTTGGTAGATCATTAAAGATGTTTTAGCCAAAACGGTGATCCTTTGTGATGTATAAAATGCAAGTCAGCTGTTTTTGTGACTTTTGAGAAGGTGTAAAAAATGCAGCCTCTTTGTGCCTCTTATACACTAGGTTTCAAGGGGAATTATTGGTCTGTGAGAGAAATAAAAATGTTCTGCTTAAGAAGAAAACAGCAGAAATGTCAGCTACTGAACATATTGGAAGTGAAGTAAATTAATAAGATTTTTTGTTCTTTATTTTATTTTATCTCTTTAATTCTAATTGAGAAATGTGCAGACATACTTTTGTAAAATTAATAGAAATTTATGGTTGATTTTACAATTACATACAGTATTTTGAGCTTTTAAAGGAAATTTATTTAAAACATTTTAATAATTTTTTATTTATATATTTATATATATTTATCAAGAATTCATTTATTGCCAAACACAAGTTTGTTTAATTATTTTAGCAGATTTCTTTTTTCTTAATGTTAGCAGGTACTGTCAATTCTGTCATAATATTATTATGACCCCTTGGTAAGGCAGTTTGTAAAATTATAAAAATTTATAATGAAATAAAAATAAAATAATAAAAAATTATAAAATAATAAAAATTATTTTAAATTCATTTATGCCAAAAATCATTAGAATGTTATGTAAATATAGTGTTCTATGAAGATTTTTAATATATTTACCACTGTAAAAAAATAAAAAAACAAAATCTTAATTTAGCACAATGCTTTCACTACAATGAGAAAATTACTCCATATATTTTGTTTTTAATTATTTATTTTTATGTCATAGACTTGAAGAGTTTGTAATTAGACTATATGCAAAAAAAATGCATGATTGAGAGACTCGGCAAGCCTTTTTTGTTTTTAAAAGATGTCTAATAGATGTCTATTAGAGGTTTAGTCGAATTGGCTAAAACAAGGCTAAATTTGGGCTGTCCATCAAAATCTAATAGTTTTCTAGAATAGGCCAAAACTAGACTAGTCATTAAATAAACAAATGAATGAATTCACATATTAAAGTCTGTCTAATCTGGCTATTTGACGACTAGTCTAGTTTTGGGCTATTCTTAGATGTCTATTAGACTTTACTGACAGCCAAAACAATTTGTTTTAGCCAAGCTGTCTGTGTCTATTAGATGTCGATTAAACACAAAACTGTTTGCTGACTTACATAAATAATGCTTTTCAGCTAGGCTACCTACATTATATTGTAATATTGCTAAAATCTTATGAACTGACAAGGAGCAAAGATATTTTTAAACTTATAACGGTTAATAAAGGCTTTGGACATCAGATGCAACTAATTTCGCGCTTTTTTTTCACAGCACCATAAGTGGAAAGGATCGATTTGGCGCCATCTTGCGATTTAAAGTGATTGTTACAAACAGTCAATAATAAATGCAATGATTCTTGAGAAAACACTTCAAAAAGAGTGCTTGTGTTATTTTACGTAAAACATAATCTGAAATTAAATTGATTGCAGACTATTCTCTTTCATCCTATATCGACATTTGTCATTTTAAAGCCTATACTAAAAGTAGTCCTATCCCATACGATTATTTTTCAGTAGATCATTGAAAACGTTCGGTTTTAAACACACAGCACAAAACCTATGATTTTATATGAATTATTTTAGTTGCTTTTGTTTCCGCCCATACACATAGCCTACCTCACATCTCAAAGCTCACAGTGCTGCATGCACCTATACTCCAAAGCTTTGTTGTTCATCCCGCCTTCCGCATCCCTCCCCCTCCCTCTCCTCCTCAGTCTTGTTGCTATGGAGCTAGATCAGTCTCATAAAATAATAGTCATTAAAAAATAAAATGTGCAGCCTGCAACCCAATTCACATTTACCAAAGCCAATTCGTAAATTCTTAATTGCACAAATATAATTTTTAATTCAAAACATATTTAAAGGATTCACTGAATTATAACACCGTTGCAACTTATCGAAATAGAATATTTACACACACACACACACACACACACACACACACACACACACACACACACACACACACACACACACATCAAATGTTTCATCAAGCATTTATGAACAATGTTGTTTATTTATGAATAATTGAATCTACATTCCTGACTAGGTCAGTAGGCATTTCTGTGTGGAGCTTGCATGTTCCCCGCATGGGCTTCCTCCGGGTGCTCCGGTCTCCCCCACAGTCCAAACACATGTATAGGTAAATTGAATAAACTAAATTGGCCGTAGTGTATGTGTGAATGACTGTCTATGGATGTTTCCCAGTACTGGGTTGAGGTTGGAAGGGCATCTGCCATGTAAAACATATGCTGGATAAGTTGGTGGTTCATTTCGCGGTGGCCCTGATGAATAAAGGGACAAAGCTGAAGGAAAATGAATGAATGAATCTTCATTTAAAGTTGAAACCCTTGCATGGAGCGCTTGAGTTTAACACACACAAATTTAAGGCATTCCATGTGTGTGGATTTTCAAATGCAGGTTTAATGATTGATAAATACATAACATTATTCATAAATGTGTGATGGAAATCAATTCAAGAACTTTATATATACACGATTGTGTAAATATTATAAATGTATGGTAGGATGCATTTGTGTGCGCATTTGAGGAAATGTTTATGCTTTTTACTTGTCAATTCATGAATTGTTTTGAATTTACAAATTTGATTTCTGCATTTAACTGTGTTTTGTATATAAAATGCAGATATGTGCATTTAGGAATTGTTTTGAATTGTACAAATGTATATAACTAAACATAGCCTTTATTTTTGAGACTAATCTGGCTCCATAGTTGCTGCTGCAGTTTTAGGTGAGGTTTCTGTGGCGCATGAATTCACTAGGGGGAAATGTTTGGCTCGGTATCCCTGCACTGGTTTGCATCTTCATTCTCTGGATCTTCCCTTCATGTGTAAGGAAAGCACTGACACATCTGCACCGCTTGGAGGCGTAACATTTAACGTGCTAAGCGCAGCATCGACGCAGTGCTTCACTAGCGCGCCTGTTCATTAAGGTGCTCAATTACAGCAAACAAGAAAGCCCTGCCTGGAAACAGCACTGCAGTCATGGAAGCCTCAACAGGTTTGTCAGTTTATCGCATCTGTTTGTTTGTAAATGTATAACTGCATGACCAAATACATTTTACAGTATGCACTATTGAGAAAATGAGACTTTGATTGCTGTCATGAGTGACAAAATTGACAATGTCTTTACTATTGCATATTTTAATAACAAGACAATAATTAAACGCACTAATTCTTACTCTGTAGAACGCCCATTTGTTAAAATGATTTCATATTTACAGAATAAGCCATCGGCTCTGCAAGTGCGGTTAAACCTGTCCGCATAATGTAATTAGCCTATATTCTCATACGTATTAGTAATTGTTTATTCCTATTTTCACACTGCAGCTACTGCTACATTTTAAAATGCGTTATTACCATTGAAATGCGTTGTTTTAGAGTATAGAGTAATTACTGGAACTACATCATTTTATTGCGCTATTCTGTTGAACACAGAACAAAAATATGTTGCAAAACACTGTCGTTCCTTTTAACATTTTATTTTGTCAATGAAAGTGATTCAAGTCTTTTCATTCATTTCTAAATTCTATCAGGATTTGTAGCAATATATGAATAGATATAATATTTCAGTGTAACTGCCTCTTTAAGAGTGAATGCTCCGCTGTAAAATGCTGACCAAGTAGCAACAAACCTAAGTTCAGCAGGACAGAACCGCATAACTGTGCTAGAGGCAGTTGTAGAGGAACAAAAAATCCGAACAAAATCAAATTGCTGTTTTTACATGCGCATAAGGCTTTCAGGTTATTGGCAGTTCCAACAGCTTTATTGAACATCACTAAAGTCCACTCGCCATTTAACTTTGGAGTCTGCTGTTACACCCAACCGGCATTTGCTGATCCTGCAGCCTCATCTCATTACGCCTCTAATCAATAACCCCAATAACCGACACTCTCAGCTGAAAACACTTGAGTTTCCAAGATGCCTTCCACATTCTCAACAGCAAATTGAGATCACTATTTATGTGATTAGAGCTTCAAATGATTGCTGGGTGAATGTAATTAAACTCAAAAGCTTGCTATTTGAGAGCTCATTAGACTCTGGCTGTCCAATATGATATTCATCTATTTATAGATTTAATAAGCATCTGTCCATGGTGCTGATCTCCATCCCCTGCATTGCATTTAAAGGAATAGTGCACCCAAAAATGAATTTGACCCCATCATTTATCAGGTCATTCTTGGTGTATATGACTTTCTTCTTTCAGACAAACACAGTTGAGCATTTAAAAGTGCATAAATCCTATAAAAACCGGAAAACTAACCCCTACGACACCAGGGGGGTAACTCTTTTCTTATAAAGCAGATCGATGTGTTTTTGTATTTATAATATTTATTTTTTTTTCAAACTATAAACTATTCCTTTAAATTTGCTTCTTGTTCAATCACTTTGCTGTAATTCATATTAAGCCTGTTATAAGCATTTCTTTTGATATGGTGTTGTTAAAATATTTAAACGTGTGTACAGGGTCATACACGCATCTTGACCAGAGTGCCTTTCATTATGGTAAGTAGGCAGCTATGGCATTGAAATGTTTATTTATTGTTGAAACATGGTGTACTTAAACAGAGCATTTCATCACTGTTGTTTTCTGCACTCAGATTATGAGACGTTGCGGACCACGGGGGTCATCCTAGCTGTGGTTATGTTTGTAAGTGGGATCCTCATCGCACTGAGTAAGTGTTTTACATATTCACATGTTAGTATATACGACTCAATGAATGTGTGCAAATACGGCGGTGGTGTTAGATTGTTATTTTAAGATTGTGAAAGTGTCATCAAGAGCGGCACTCACCTGACAGTCAGTCCAATGCAGTTAAAACTGTGGAAAAAAAACACTTTCAGTTGACCAAGCTCTACAGCTGAGTGTGTTTCCTCAACACAACTACCCTGTTATACACTTTGTACATTTATTTACACAGCTTTGTGAGGAATTGGATTAAAGCTAAAAAATAGTGTTTTCATCTAAGTCTAAGAAACTTAAACCACACTGAACTAAACTTAACGGAATCTGGACTTTACTAGAACTGTGTTAAGCTGCTTTGACACAATCTACATTGTGAAAAGCGCTATATAAATAAATATGAATTGAATTGAATCAATGTCAGTTCCTGGAGAGCCACAGCTCTGCACAGTATAGTTCCAACCCTAATTAAACACACCTGATCAAACTAATTAAGCCCTTCAGGCTTGTTTGAAACCTACAAGTAATGTAGTCACTAGAGATTGAGCGTGCAAAATTCTCTAATACGACACTGTGAAAAGGGGCGGGATTAAACAAGATGATTAGACATTTGAAAATGCAAGCGATTGGTCCATATTTTAAATTCCTATACAGAGAGGTCTTGTTTTGATTTTGAATTGATCTCGTGTAATCACATGATGCGATTTCGCAAGTCAGAGTTCACCAAGCTTTCAGGGGTTTGACACCCCTGAAAGTGAAAAAGACAAAGGAGATTTTCTGAAATTTGTGCACACACACTGTTTCTTTAACAAGTGTCATCCACAACTATTTGGCTTTCATTCAAAATGTTTTGATTCATTCTCTGATATCTGTGTGAATGGGGATTGTTTTGACAATGCTATCTTCTGTTAACTTGGAAACATAAAACACCATTGAGTCATTTGATTCATGTGAAAGTACACTGTAAAAAAAGAGCAATCTGTAAAGTTGGTTGTTTAAAAGGCAACTAGTCACCAAAACCTTAGTTAAAAATAGTAGAAACTAGTATTTTACAGTAAAATACCGTATTTAATTAATTTAGTGTTAATACACCAATATTTTGAACTATCTTGCACATTGTACTTTTGTTACACAGAGACAATAGAAAATCATATAATGAATGATTATCACAAAGAGTTTATCCAGTAGCAGAGAAAACTAAGATATAGAAGGTGCACAGTGTCATTCACACAACTACTTAACGTAACACACATTACATTACAACTAATGTAATGCTATAAACAATATTGTAATATGAAGTGGGACTCAGGTTTATTAAACAGAGATGGTCAGGCAAGCAACAGAAGCAAACAGATAAGCAGGTCAATAAGCAGGTGAATGGTCAAAAGGCAGGCAGCATACAACGTAAGCAAACAAACAAACAAGGTGAGGGTCAAAAACACAGCAAGGCAAGGAAACCGCATCAAAAAGTTCACAGTCAGAATAACAAGACTCAGCAATGAGGCTGTCAGAGTGAACTGTATATATGTGAGTGTTATCAGTCCATGAGCAGCTTCAGCTGTGTGAGTCTAATCAACAGGAAACTGGAACAGGTGTGTGTGTAGTGGAAGACTGGAACTTGTAGTCCATATAATAGAGGATTTGTAGTTCTATGCGATACTGTGTGTTTACCAGCGATCTGCACAGGCTGGATTGCTGGTGATCATAAGAATTATTCATCAAATTACATAAAGCTCTAATGTACACTGATAAAAAAAAAAAAAAAAAAAAAAAAAGAACTATAATAATTTAACAAAAAGCATAAAAAACAACTGTTATCCAGGGAGTTCTGGGAAACAGTTATGGTTGTTCAATGTATTTAATATGGAATCTTACTGCTAACCTGTTTACAGATTTTATTTTTACTGTAGCATTTTAATATTTTCTCTGTTTGTGAGTCAACAATTTCAACTAATTACCTAATTACACCCCTAACCCCCCCCCCCCCCCCCCAATCTTACCAAAGAAGTTGTATTTTTTTCATACAGTGTCACTTAATCTACAGGCAAGTGAATGTAAAAATTTTGTACAGTATATTGTTGTTGTGTAGACATAGGCTTAAATGAAACTCGATGCATTTCTTCCAAACTGACCTGAGCTAACTCCAGTCGCAGTCCCCCTCGATTACACATTTCATCTCCTCTAAATGTTTTATCCCCGACAGGTAAAAAGTGCAAATGCTCAAAATCCAAGTAAGAGTTTTTCCCACATAAATGTACAGCCTTGACTGAGCATGTGGAATGACTTGAATACTGGATGAGAAAACGTCCTGAACGAAAAAATAAAAAATAAAAATAAATGGAACTGATGGTGCCATGTCTGCTCAGTGGAAAGCTCTATGAATGCTGCCCCTGGTGGATTGGGTTCTCGAGAGACTTCTTTGAGTTTACCAACACTGTCTATCCATTTAAACAACAGCACCTGACCTCTGACAGAACACCACACTTATGGTTTTGGAATGTTATAAAAATGGGTTTTTATTTCGAAATCCCAAATGACTAACTGGACATGGTGCTCTTTTTGTGGGTGGACAGAGTTTACCGACTGATAAAATGCTCAGCATGTAATCCTGATGATTGATATAATGATTTCAGGCCCTTGCTAACCAAGAAACACCAATTACATTTGATTAAAGTGCCCTTTTTATGCTGTTTTAGAGATTCCTCATTTTGTTTTATTGTTCTCCCTCAATATGACATCCATCCATTAATGTTCTCACAATGTGGATTGCAGCATCACCTCTTTTCTCTAAATCTCTCTTTTGATTGGCCAGATGAAAAATAGACAAGACAAAAACAAAGTAAAAACAAAACATAAGCCAAACATACAATACCTCATTGTTTGTGTGTTAGAAATGTTACAAACATGCAGCTGGAATGACCAACGACTCATCTCAGATAGTTCAGAATTGTCGTTTTTAAGGAGACTTTAAAGTGTTAGTTCACTCAAGAGCTGAAAATTCACTCACCAATATCTCATCATTCACTCGTTTCAAACCTTTCTTCAGTGTTTCAGCAGGTTTCAAGTCAAATTTAAGACTTTTTAAGACCCTACTAAGAAAATCATTAATGAAAATTTAGACTTATACAGAGCTAAACACTCTAGATTTTTTTTCTAATGCCAAATTTATTTTTTTATTTTTTTACTTGTTACAACAACAACAAAAATGTTTTGTTGATTCTTAGCCACATCTGTCAAAAAAAAAAAAAAAAAAAAAAAAAACTCTAGTTTATATGAATTTTTCAACATAATGTTTAATTTTTTTAAATGACAAGTTTAATATTGCTGAAATATAATATTTCTTATGGACATGATTACATGAATGATCAAAAATTTAGATTTGTCGGCTTTTTGTCTAAATGGATTGAGGGAAACTCCTGTTCAACATAATGCTTTTCTGTTATAAAAGCTTGCCTATTCCATGTCTATTTATAAATATTATGTACGCTCCCTCTTACTTTAGAAAAAAGGTTTTGTATAAATAGAAGATCATGTAAAGGGAAAATTTGCTCTGTTATTATCGCGAGGAAATGTGTAATTGCTTTATAGTTTTCCTTCCCTGATTACAGAATTAAATTTTCATTTGTCTGTAAAAATGTCTAATAACTGTTATCTCTTTGTTGATGATTGGTGGATGGATGTTGGACTGATTGGGTAGTTTTACTTGGACAGAGGAAAATTAAGACATGTTTTAAAAAATGTAAGACCTACAACACAATATTTCAGTCAATTTAAGACTTTTTAAGGCCTAAAACTTTGCTTTCGAAATGTAAGACTTTTTAAGACCCTCCCAAAACCCTGAAACTAAAATATAATGAAGCATCTTATCACCATAGACTTCCACAATGTTTGTTTTTCCTACTATTGAAGTCAATAGTTACAGATTTTCAGCTTTCTTCAAAATATCTACTTGTGTGTTGAACTCAAGAAAGACACTTAAAAATGTTTCAAACTACCCCTTTAAGTATTTATTGTGCATTTTAATCATTGAAATCTTGTTGAACTTTTACGCTCATGTCTAAAACAAGTAAGGTAATGTCTAAAAAGCATAATAGGGGCACTTTAATGTGGATGAGCATGCCTGCTTAATATTCTGAAGTGTTTTTGGCTTTGTTAAATATGTTTTGTTTGTTCTTACGACAGATCTAGTCCAGTGGAAGGCCCTCCGAAGACAGAAGGTACAGCAAATCAAACATCAACTCATGATACATTCAGAAATATCACCCTATTTTATTGATCGCTTGATAAATGTCTTTTCTTTCTTCTTTTAGTTCCCCCTCAAACAGTGTAAAGCAGATGGCGTATCAGAGCGGCCCATTTCAGCGAGAGGAAATGCTCAGACGCACAAGGTTACTTACAGGAATGAGAGGGAAAGCAGAACATGCTTGACCTCTTTTTGTAACTTCAGCCTAAATGCTGATCTACTGCTGTATTTTTAGCTCTTACAGTTGTGCTAAATCATGTCCCTTTTGTCCCACAATTCACCACACACCTCAGCTGATCACAGTTGCTTTACTTATGCATGAACAGTTCAGTTTAATTACTACTATATGAGGCCTAGTTTAAAAAAATGTCTGAAATATTTATGGCAACCAAGATGAATGATTGAAATTTAACATCAGACTGTTTAAAGTTTACACAAGTAATATAAAATTGAAATTTATACTCGTTTACATTTTATTAAAAAGCTAATTCGCAGCACTTGAGCATGAAATGTCGCACAGTTGCGTGTCGAACCTGTGTAACTTGTGCATGCCAGGTTTCAACACTCTGTAAGACAACCGTGTAACGTTCTAATAATTTAAAATGCATTATGAAGTAAATTTATAAGTTGAATTTTTAATTTTTCTGTAACTTATTACCAGTAAAAACTTTAAAAACAACCTGTAAAGTACAGATATTTCCTGTTTACACATTTATTAGATCAGTAAAAACATAATTATTATGCAGCTTCACATAACATTTGAGGGCTAAGGTAGAAAAAATAAGTCTTGCCTTAAAAACTCATGGTGCAACTGAATCGAATACAGAATTACCAACAAACTACTAACGGAACTACATCACAATCTAAAAAACCTTATGAGAGTCTAGAGAAATCGATCGCATGAATATTTGAATGTATTCCAGAGATGAAAGCACTTTAGAAAGTAATGTTTAGTTACTGAATATGAAACAATTGAACTGCAACTGAATGTATGCATTTATGTATGTATGTGTCTCATATTAATGAATGAAAAAGCATCTGTGTACATTTGAAAGAATGAATCACTGCTCTTTTCAGTCAGCATGTTTGTGAAGGAATGCTTAATAACTCTTTCAGTCAGTCGTGGTGTGCGTGCGTGCGTGCGTGTTTGTCTTGAAGTGAAGTAAATGAGTACAACTAAACATTCACATCAGTCATAATGAAGAACACATCATATATACAGCTACTGTATGTAAATGAATACAACTACTGTATGTCAATGTATTTTATTAGTCACGCAAACATTAGTCATGTACCAAAGGCATTCAGCTAAATAAAACATACTGAGTTACAGAGATTTATTCTTTCTTTAATCTGTATTTTCAATAGCTTCACGTAGTTTGGCTTGGTCATTTGATGTATAATGCAAAACGTGTATATTCATGAATAAAACGGCAACATCAAATCATCAAAAGACGTTACTCTTCATACACAATATTTAAAAGAAAAACATTGTACATACAATCAAGCAGAATTTAATGCTACCTCAAATACATGCAGAAATGGGTTTTGTTTCATTCATTGTGTTGGCAATGTTGTGTACACTGTAAAAATCATTGCTGCCTAAAATGTTTTAGTTAAATCAACTGAACTTTTCTAGCCATCACAACTTACTTCAGTCAAATTAAAAATATTAAGTTAACCTTTGTGTGAATAAAAAAATAATATTTCGATTACCTGCTTAAACTAAAGGAACAAATACATATGTCATATTATTTTCACATTTCAAATTTTGACAAATGAAATCACCGGAAGGAAATGTGCAGTTCGTTTTCAGCGTAATTCTGATAAATCCACAAACCTCTCTTTGTTTTTACAAGAAAGTGACATTAGCGTGTGTTTTCCCTCGCGTGAATTTCCAGAGGGACTCTGGGTACTTTAGCATGATGAATCATGCACGTGTTTGACTCAACAACAAAAACAACAACATTCTCTAATATCTAAAGTCTTGATACAAGACGGACAATTTCCCCACATCGAACATCTTTTCTTTCACTCTGCTGAATGAACATCGTGAAATCACATTAATGACTGTGGTGATAGACCTCATTCTGGAACTTCATTCTTGAAGACAAAACTACCTTCATACCTGAGAAGCCCGTGACATTTCACCCCCTCATATACGACTCATCAAAATATCACAGACACGGAAGGATGACACATCTATCAATTGTGCTTCACATAAAGAACTGCGGTAGAATAAATAACTCATCTTTATGTAACTTTAAGAGTAAAAGTAACATGAGCAGAGAAGAGTATGCAACACATAAGCCATATAAATACAATTGAAAACATAAAATAAGGATATTTCACTGCTACAGTGAGCATATAAGAAACCAATATGGTTTGTAATTGAGACTTGACGGACTCCGACAGCCCTTGTGATGATTTCATTGAAATCAGTGTTCAGTAAAACGCTGATGTTCAGCATTTGAATAAACTGTCAAGCAGCTTTATGTTACAGAATCAATTAATGATCCTTTGCAAAAAAATACACTGTCATACCAAAATGATGCAAGTTGTGAATTTTCTCATAAAAGAATACTGTAGATAACCCGATCCTTCTCCAGAGATCTTCTAGATTCATTACAGGCAGTTTGTGTTTGATCTGTTTATCTCGCCCAGGCTTTAAAGGCACTGTTCCTCCCCCATAATAAATATTATATATAATAAAACACCTTCAAATGGTTTCAAACCTTTGTGAATTTCCTGTTTCTGTTGAACACTTAAGATACTTTGAAGAATGTTTGTAACCAGTAAACAGTAGCTGAGTTTCCATCAGCTGCACTTTGAAGTATCTCATGAGAAATGATTGATGGAAATGACAAATTTTGAAAGAAAATTTCAAAATTCATATTCATTCATTTACTTTTCAGCTTAGTCCCTTTATTATTCTGGGGTCGCCACAGCAGAATGAACCGCCAACTTATCCATATGTTTTATGCAGCGGATGCCCTTTCAGCTGCAACCCATCACTGGGAAACACCCATACACACTGAAATACACATACACTACGGCCAATTTAGCTTACCTAATTCACCTACAGCACATGTCTTTGGACTGTGAGGGAAACCAGAGCACCTGGAGTAAACACATGCAAACACGGGAAGACATGCAAACTCGGGAAGACATGCAAACTCCACACAGAAATGCCAACTGAGTCAGTCGAGGGTCGAACCAGCGACCTTCTTGCTGTGAAGTGATTGTGCTACCCACAACACCACTGTGTCGCCCCAAATTCATGTGAATAACGAGAGATCAAACATTACATCCGTGACTAATCAGCTGTTTCTGCTGATGAGGCTTTAGCAGGTCGCACACCAGAAGCGCCGCTCGGCGCCGCGACACGGCGCGTACATGACAGTTTAAGGTATCACACACCAGACGCGCACATTCGAATGATATTTAACATGAAACTAATCAGATGGCGCTCTGTGGCGCGGCTGAAAAATGAACTGCGTCCTGAGCCGTCGCCGGGCGCCGCCGACAGCCGCCGACTTGCGGCGCCGGTGTGTGTATCCTGATAGAAACATATGTTTAGAATTCTAAAATACATGGCGCTGCGTGGCGCTGCGCGGCGCGCCGCCGAGCGGCGCTTCTGGTGTGCGACCTGCTTTTGTTTACTGTTGGTTACTAGGTTACCAATACTACAGTTAGCCACTCCAAGAACTTCAAAGATATTTACACTAGATGTCACAAATGACATCTATTGTTATCTATTGGAAGAAATGCATCAATAGAGCCCCCATTTTAGTACAGGGTAGTGCTCCTTTCAAATTAATGTGCGAGTAAGGTGCAGTAGAGGAATGGCCATCCAGAGTAATAGATGTAAATACATAATATACATACATCTATGATCTGGAGTTTTCCCGGTGGTCAGTATGCAAATGTTTTATAAATTATAAAAATTATCATTTTAGATCGCTTTTCTATAGCGATGGATGAGTGACCGCATGGGCATCGCTGACAAAAATCATATGCTTGTGTGCATGGAAGTGTATTTTCCTCCCTCCCTTTTAAATTCGATGTAATCCATGTCCTGAATCACAAACCCCTCTCCTGCTTTCAATTCTCATTCTAACGGAGGGAGAAATTCGTTTGTAAATGAATCCCCGTTATGAACGATTTGTTCACTTAGCCGACAATAATACACAGTTCTAGCACCGCAGCATCTTGTTGTTATATTTTATTTACCTTGTTTGCTGATTTTATTCAACAAAACTAGCATAAACTAAGAATTCAGTGCGAGTTGGTGCTACTTTGCCTTATGGTGAATGCAGTAAGAGGCTGTATTATCATCAATATTTGTTGAGCACAAAAGTTTGTAACATACAAAAATGTAAAAATCTAAATCTTACTTATAAAATGTTCTGCCTTTGTTCTTTGTTTTTTTTTTTTTTGCTCATTACTACACTGGTACGCAGTGCAAAAGTCCAGCATCTGACTAGTGCGGTTGAATGACATTTGTCTTGGAGCACTGTACAAATGTGGCGGCACTATTGACGCATGCTCAGGGTGCGTATGCGATATCTAGTGTGTATATCTATGTACCAACTTGAAGGAAAGCCAACCTCATATTTGGATTTTTTCGGTAACACTTTATAATAACTACACACTATGAACCATTTATTAAGCATTAGCAAATAGTAAATTCATTATCTGTTAAGCATTAACTCTACATTAAAAAACGTTAGTAGTCAGTTTAAAACTACAGCCACAAATGCTGTATTCTTGACTTATAAGCACATGTGTAATGTGCTTAATCATTGTATTTTCATACTTTGTTATTATTATTTTTTTATTACTAAAATAACTATTGCATCATTTACAAATGAGTTATTTGAGAGAAGTTGCTGGTTTTTAAGGTCATTCAGAATGCAGAAGTAAATGATTAATAAACTATTCACATTAACGTTCATATATCTTATTATTCAGGCATATAATAATAGTGTGTATGTATGTTAATAAATGCTTTATTAACTCAACTTCATGCAGTTTTGTGACCTAATCTGAAGTGAGGATTATTTAAGCTTTATAAATCCCTTATAAATGACAATTAAAGGCTCAGTTAAATTCCAAACAGGAAAAAAGAACGTAACTGACTTCATTACATCACACTATTCATTTCTATTCATGTAAAGATACACAAATGTAACTGTATTAAATAAAAATATATATATTTGCAATCTTAACTTTTAAACATCTAAACATCAATTAAACAACATTTAAACATCCCCAAATAATATTGAAATGTTGTATCATAAAATGTTAAATAATATTGTTTTATTTTTTATATTTTGACACTCCTGTTATTCAGCTATTTTTTTTTCTTAGATAAGATTGCAAAGATTGTTGTTCATTTGATACTAATTTAATTGTCACCTATAACGGATTTATAAAGCATAAAAAGTCCTTACTTTAGGTCACAAAACTGCATGAAGTTGAGTTAATAAAGCATTTATTAACATACCAAATTAACTATTAATATATGCCTGAACAATAAGATATATAAATGTTGATTTCAATTGTTAATTAGTCTTTTACTCACTCATTCTGAATTATCTTAAAAACCACAAACTACTCTTAGATGCAAATGGATAATGCAATACTTCAGTTAGTCATAAAAAATCAATCAGTCACAAAGTATGAAAATACAATGATTGAGCACATCAAATATGTGCTTATAAGTCAAGAATACAGCTTTTGTAGCTATAGCTATAAACTGATTACTAACGTTTATTAATGTAGAGTTAATGATTAACAGATAATGAATTCACTATTTGCTAATGCTTAAAAAATTATTCTTAGTGTGTAGTTAATATAAAGTGCTAGTGTTTTTTCTTGTTTGCAAATACTTGAAAGATTCGCTTAGGATGAAAGCAGACTTCCACACTGGGGAAAACATGCTTCGGTGGTCGATGACGACAGGTTTTCAACATTCTTCAAAATATCTTTGTGTTCAACAGAAGAGAGAAGCTCAAAAATATTTGTAAAAGTAGATGGTGATAAAATAATGACTTAACTTTCATTTTGGATGTCTTTAAGCCCAAGTGCACCTAGTTTTAATTGCTTAATTATAAATACACATGCTGGGTGGATGTGTATACTTTGGATTATAATTCTCTGTAAAAGATCCATTCAGCCAATCAAATCCTAATGGGAAGTTATATAATGTGAGGATAAAATGTTTTAAAATTGTTGTTTCGTGTGCCTACTGTGATTTAATCCAGATAACTGCATCTCTATTGGAGAAGGTGGGGAACGCCGGAACTGAAAATCAGTCCTAGTCACTCTTGATCCTGTAAGGATGCAATACGCCGCCTAGAGGAGGCACTTTTCTTCTTCAAGAGGAGCTTGAGCTGAGGAAGAGAGAGAGAAAATGTCAGCCAGTGTTTCTTATTCTTTTCACATCATGTTTTTTTTTTTTTTTAATAAGCTCAAGTACTATCTGAACAAGACAATAGTTTGTAGGGCACTGTATATGCATGAGTGCTTCTGAAAGCTTGCTAATAAAGCAAGGCTGCTTACTCTCTCTCCTTTGTCTCCGCTCTGCAGTAAATGTGCGGGCTGGTCATTTTCCAGGTTGCGGATGCTGGGATCAGCACCATGTTTCAGCAGCAGCTGGATCAGTTCCTCCTGATAGGGATTTCCATGCAGACCTGCGGCCATGTGTAGAGCAGTGTGCCCATGAGCCTGAGAGGAGACAAACATTACACAGAGTATGATATATATATATGCACTCTTGCTCTTTTTTTTTTTTTACTTTATATGTCCCACAATTCACAAGAGAATAAAAGTAGCGATGATTGATTAACATTATTTTGGGTCCACTCTACTGTTAGTGACTTGTCTGTGAGGAATACAGCGCATTGTGTTGCCAGGTTTGCCATTTTCTAGCAGAGTTGAGATGCTTTCATATTGTTGCCACAGGCAGAAATGTGCAATTTCAACTGAATGTGAACACAATTTCAGCCAAGGTGTACACAGCTGGGATAGCTTAATTAGCATTGTTTTTTTTTTATGAGGATCTGGCAACCATGATTGCAGACGATGTTCCATTCACACCATTAACGATAACATTAGTTTATTTCAGTACACGGTTTACAAAAATACACAAGCTCAAAGAATTAAATCAGTGGGTGGTTAGCGTGTGCGCACTTAGGATGTGTCTGAATCCACTTTTGCTATTTGACGAACAGGAAAAATGGTCGGCGTGCCCGGCGCATGCTAAAAAGGTTATCCTTATTCTCTTAATGAGTTATCTACCATTCCTTTTAAGAGTTGTGGTCACAACTGTCACATTCAATATCTACATAGCAGACTTGTGGAAAACGGTGGCAGACAGTGGAAAAACTGAACGCTTCACTAGTGAGGAAACAGACATGTGTTGTGATGTGAATGAGCCGGATTGCACCAAAAGCACCCTGAAGTCAAGAAGGCATGAGAGGAGGTAATGGTTTTTATATTTATGTAGACAATAATCACCTTTTACATTTTAATTAATTAATTAATTAATTATTTTGAATTAATTAATTAATACATTAATTAAAACATTAATTAATTAATATATTTTAATTTTCATTTTAAAATATGTTTGTGTGCCCCTGTGTGTGTAATAAGCAGCACGTACATGTGTTGTAGACCCACCTACAGGTGCATATAACTAACATGCTCTTAAAAAAAAAACTTGCACGTATACGTGGCGTATTTCAGTGCCTCATAAAAGCAACATGCCAATAATTCAACTTTACACACCTCCTTTTTAGACTAGCATGCTCGTGGGCACACAAATGAGGTCAAATACATTTGATACAACTCAATACAGCGCGGAATATGAAAATGATACCAGTGCCGGGCGTAAACCAAACTAAAAAATAACATTTGCGTCTGGCACTGGGAGTGTGTGATATGCCCCACTGAGTTGTTCACTTCAATTCATTCAAAAAGAATGAAGACCATTCACAAAGGCAACAAATTACTGTAATGAGCGAGTCACTGGATCAGTCACTTAATCAATTTAAAAAAAAAAAAAAAACGTTTTTAAAGGAATGAAACTCTGTTGTCTTCATGAGCAACTCGATGTGAATCATTTAACCAATTCGTACAATTCATGTATGAAACAAATTACTAGATTAATGAGTGAGTCAGTGGGTCGTTGGCTCAAATGATTCATTTTAGAACTTTTTAATTATTTAATTTAAACCGATGAGTGACTCAGTGAATCATTTAAACAACTTGTTCAAAAACTTAGAATCTTTCAGGAATGAAACGCATATTGTATATTTAAGTGAGAGAGTTTTTTTTTTTTTTTTTTTTACGAAACTAATTTGTTTAAAACAAAAAAACAAAAATTCTTTTTTTTTTTTTTCAGGAATTTCAAACATTTTCACTCAATCACCAATTGAGTGAATTGTTTATTCAATTTGTTCCAAACAACTTAAGGCTGAAATTACTTTAATTAAGAGTTGGTCTTTGAGATTTTTACTCAAATTATAACATAAGTTGACATACGTCTTTCACAAAAACAACTTATTAAAAATTATTCCAAGAACAAAACAAGTGTTTTTGTGAGTCCAAATTTAGTTTTTCTGATGGAGCAATAAACAAGACAACTTCATTGAATATAAAATGTAAGCTGTTCATCATAAACATCTCGTTCACATGCTCAATAGTATATATATACAGTATATATATATAATGTTTGGCATGAGGCGAGTGTATTATTAGCTACACTGTAAAACCCAACAGTCAGCGTTATCAATGAAATGAGCGTAGTTACCTAAAAATTAACTGAAAGTTAATTCTACTCATTTAAAAAGAGTTTTGAACTCAGTGTTGAAGGTAATGAGTTAATTAAATACCTCATTACTTCAGCTTAAATAGTGTAAGTTCACAGTACTGATATAGATTCGTTTTGTAATGGTTTGTAGCAATCAGTTTCCTTGAACGGTTTGAGTAGCCTTAACTTATTAAGCTTTACAGTACTCAGTTGGTTTGAGTTCTCTTCATTTATTGGCTTTTACTGTGCTCAAATCGCTTAATTTACTCAGAGTAAGTTCACAGTACTCATTAGAATTAGTTTTTGAACCTAAATGGTTTGTTGCAATCGGTTTCTTCAAATGGTTTGAGTTACCTTAACTTTTTGGGTTTTACAGTGTAATTAAATAAGATTTCATATGTGCATGATTAAAATCAATATAATGCTGTCATCATATGACTCTCACTTTTAAGTTGATGAACTCCTGCATATTAGGGAGCTGATGGGCTAGAAGGACGCGCACAAGATGGATATTCCCCTCCTTCACTGCCAGGTGAAGAACTGTCTTGTTGCTTTTGATTTCCTGAAAAAGAATAAAAAGGCAAATTAGTCAACAAAGTGAAACTGATGAGACTTCAAAGCTGGCATGACTGAGGTTTCCTACCAGCGTGTCAAAAGGAAACCGCACTATGCGGAACAATGACAATATCAGTTGTTTGTCTGTCTGTCAGAAAGGAACATTAGGGAAAGATTTGATTCCTATATGGTGGAAATCTATACCACAGTGTCAATATCAGTACCTGTAATTCTTGGTTGCTGCTGCTAACTTCATAAAAAATGAAGTAACATTGTATATACACTTCCATTTAAAAGATTGGGGTCAGTCATGGTTTCTATAGAATATTTTTTTCTTTAGAAATGAGATTAGAGTTGCTTCTGACAGACTGAAGTTATGACAATTTTGCTTTAAACAACAAAAATAAATGTACTTAAAATATAAACAAATTAGAAAACAACTATTGTAAATTTCACAATAATAAAATAGACCCAAATCTTTCAAAAATAGAAGGTTTATCTTTATATATATATATATATGATTAATATATAATTATTTTAAATGGCTTTACTGTGTTTTTTTTCCAGTTGAAGTATGTTAATGTGGTCTATTAGGGCAGCATTTGGCAAAGATTAATTAAAATTGAGCCTAATATTGTTAGTATTAAACTGTGATGAAAATATAAAACCGTAAAAAAGCCATTCAAGGTAATACCTGACTGAGAATTGAAGCTCCGGCATTTATAAGAAGCCGCAAGCACATAAGTTTATCTTCTGCTTGATTCTGTAGACTGCCATCAGCCAGCCATGTTGAGGAGGAGGAGGAGGCGTTTATAGCCTTCATCGTGGCACTGTGAGAGATCACTGCACAGTGCAGAGGAGTCAGACCTAAAGACAGAAGATAAAACCAAGACGTCTTACATCTAAGTGTGACCATTCAAAATGCAAGTGACTTCTGTTTCTTTAGTGAGATATTATAGAAGTCTATTATATAAAGAAAAATTTTCTATTAAAAGCTGCAATTTCTCTTCAACTGAAGAAAGAAAGAAAACTAACATTTTGGATTAAGAGGGGGTGAGTAAATTAAAATATATTAAGTGAATATTAATATTTAATATTAAATATTAAGTGCTAATCTCATTCAGATCACCCAGTAGAAAAGTGAAAGGAGAGTTTATATTTGATTATAGGTTACTAGTAAATTAGATATTATATAAGAAGTTATGAGTAATGAATAAAGTATGGTAACTAATGGACCCTTAACGGTCATCAGCATCTTAAATCCTTAAAAGTTTTTAATATTTAGATTTTTTTTTAAAATGTATGTATATATGTAAACGAGTTTGCGACCAGCGCATTCCACCTGCAGGACCAGATGGTTGTCGTTTGTATTAGGATAGGATAGGATAAACTTTATTTGTCCCCGAGAGGAAATTTGTCTAGGGCAAAAAGGTGCTACAAAATTGTTATAAACAGACAGTAAAATAAAATAAAAAATAAATAAATAATAGTATTATAATGGTAAATAAAGTATTGGACTATCTCCACATCCCCTGTTCACATCCTCTGTTGTGATGTTATGTCTATGTCCATGTGTTTATGTGCTTGTTCTCTCACTGCCCTACTTTAAGTCTGGGAGGGGCTTTTTTCACCTCCCTTTTTCCTAATGCATTTTATTTCCTCTTTCTAAAGCTACCTCTCGTCTGACCTGTTTTCCCCTGAGTGAAGTTTGTGTATGGTCGGGGGCGGTCCAATTTCACTACATGTAACAGTGCATGTGAAATTTATTTATTCATTTTCTTTTTCCTTAGTCTCTTTATTGATCTGGGGTTCTGCCACTGAAGAATGAACCGGCAACTTATCCAGCATATGTTTTACACTGCGGATGCCCTTCCAGCCTCCACCCATCACTGGGAAACATCCATACGCTCTCATTCACACACATACATTATGGACAATTTAGCTTACCCAATTCACCTATAGCGCATGGACTTGTGGAGAAATCCGGAGCACCCAGAGGAAACCCACGCAAACACGGGGAGAACAGGAGAACATGCAAACTTCACACAGAAATGGCAACTGACCCAGCCGGGGCTCGAACCAGCAACCTTTTTGCTGTGAGGCAATCACGTTACTCACTGTGCCACAGTGATGCCACAATGGTTACAGGTTTCAGACATTTTTCAAAATATGATGTTTTGTGTTCAACAGAAAAAAAGAAACTCATAAAGGTTTGAAACAAGTTAAGGATGAGTACTGTAATTGATTGCAGAATTATTATTTGGGGGTTAACTATCCCCATAAATAAATTTTTAGCTGAAACTGTGGTCTTTGTTGATTTATAAAAATGCAGGTCAATGAGTACTGCACTGGGAGTAAAACAAACAAATAACTAATATAAAATAATAATAATATCTATGGCTCCTAACATATCATTGAGGTCTGATTAAGTGAAAGGATCTGCCAGGTCTTTAATGTATCTTCAAGAACTTTCTCTATTTATTTTGCTTTGCCTGTATTTCTTTTTTTACTTTCAAAGTGCACTAACTTTATTTTATAATCCTCTAACCATCATAGAAGATAAGATTTACATACATTGTGGGTGGTCTAAGGGAGAATGAAATTAGGAACTAGTGCATTTTCAGGGTAAAAATACAATAATAATTTATGCGCTCCCACGAGTTCTTTCTTTCTTTCTTTCTTTCTTTCTTTCTTTCTTTCTTTCTTTCTTTCTTTCTTTCTTTCTTTCTTTCTTTCTTTCTTTTAAAATAAAAAATGCAGGATTTTTCTTCATAGTGGACTTTTATGGTGACAAGTGGTTTAAACGTCCAACTTTCAGTTTCAATGCAGCTTTAAAGGACTCTAAATGATCCCACCCAAGGAATAAGAAACTTTCCTAGAGAAAGAATAGGTCATTTTTAATTTAAAAATAAATATTTGTCTACTATACAACCACAAAGGTTCATCTGGCACAAACTCAGAGATGAAAAGTAGATACATAAAAAAAAAAAGACAAATCGTTTTGCTATAAGACGCTTGTTATTTAAGTATGATCAGTTATTTTACTTCGAAGCTGGATTGAAACTGCAATTTTTAACGTCTCTGTCACAATATGGTGAAAAAAACGGCAGGTTTTCTTCAAAAAGCTCTATTTCTTCCTGACTAAAGAATGACACGGAGGGTGAGTACATAATCAGGCGCAGTGGGTAGTGTTGTCACCTCACAGCATGTAGATCGCTGGTTCGAGCCTTGGCTGGGTAAGTTTGTCACCTTAGAATTATAAGGTTATATCTGTCATTGTTGTCAATTTAGTTATTGACTTTTTTTTATTTTTATTAAATGACAACTTATTTACATTATGGAGTGTTTTTTATAAGGTGTTTACATTTAAAGACGTTTTATTTAAAAGACAAATGTTACACACATACTGTCTGCTATGGAATGCAAAAAGTTTGAAGCTCAATATCTCAAAATCATTCAAAACTCAGATAGAATTTTATAATTCCAAGGTGACGAGTTGGCATTTCAATGTGGCGTTTGCATGTTCTCCCTATGTTCGTGTGGGTTTCCTCTGGGTGCTCTGGTTTCCCCTACAAGTCCAAAGGCATGCGCTATATGTGAATTGGGTAGGCTAAATTGTCCGTAGTACAGTGTAGTGTGTGTAAATGAGAGCGTATGGGTGTTTTCCAGTAATGGGTTGCAGCTGGAAGGGCATTTGAGGTGTAAAACAAATGCTGGATAAGTTGGTGGTTCATTCCGCTGTGTTGACCTCTGGTTATAAAAGTAGTAGGCCAAAAAGACAGTGAATAAATAAACATATTCTGTATCAGCACGTTTTAATTTCTGGTTGAATCTTGTTTGCTAGAGTTTAAACAGTTTGCAGTTTTATACCTTCAAAATTACGAGCCTCCAGGTCCATACGGCGTCCAGCATAGAGAATAACCTATTAAAGCACAGTATTTTTAGATGCATGCTTTTGCGATATCGAATCATTAACATGTGGTGTGATTCTCTCACCTGCATGACCCGAGGGAAACCATACGTTGCTGCAAGATGAAGAGCGGTTTGACCATTGACGTCACAGATGCTGATGTCTGCCCCAAGATAGAGTAAATCCTGGACTATGTCTGGTTGATTGGCAGTTACAGCCACCAGCAAAGCAGTCTGGAACACAAAAGGTCAGTGAATGCATTAATAAACAGAAATATCATGAATAATTATGGATTAGATTTATCCAGTTTTTTTTGTTTGTTGGACTATTCACCTTGCCCTTGTGTTCTTTGGAGTCCAGCTTCCCCAGTCCATGAAGTTTCTCTGCTGCAGCAAATGCATATTCCCTCAGGCCTTTGGCAGTATAGATATGTAAAATGCTAACAGGGAGGAAAGACAAAGTTTCAGTTCTCATTTCATGCGCGAGCTCACTTTTCAATAAGGCTTAAGCTTACACTGTGGTTTCATTAGTTAAGAACTTTGAGGATCCTTCTGGTGAAGCCACTACTGGTGTTTTGCTGACAATTTAACTGAGAATTTTACATTAGAACAGTATTTGACCTGTTTGAATGAATGTTGTTTGGGCAAATGTCTTAGATGACTGTTGCTTTTAAAATATACTGCTTGTATTCATTATATGTGCACTTTTTTTACAGTCCTGTATGATGTATACATACTAAGGCATAATAGTCATTACATTACCTGGTAACAATTAGGTATTTACCTAGGTACTCTCCCTAAACCTCCCTCCCCCTGACCACAACTTTAACACCTGTAGTTACCTTACATAACCCAAGTATGTAGGTGAGTTTACTGTAAGTACATGGTAAGTACATGTACTGTAAAGTGCAACCCATGCAGGTTTTAAAGAGTATTTTTAATGATTATCAAGACAAAGTGAATTATTCAAAATTATTATTATTATTCAGAATGTTTAAATAATTTAGTACTGTAACTAACCTGTAATTTTAAAGTGTTTTTCAAGTTTATTTGTTTAAACCTTTCTACATATCATTAATTTCTCACTGTTTTAATACAAATTGTAAGCTGTCACACAACACCAAAGCTTTAAGTAATCATTAAGTAGATGTATTAAAATTATTTGACTAGAAACAAAGATTTGCTAAAAACTTATTTTTGCTACTTCTTTTATTGGCCATTTTTTCTGGGAAAACAGTCCCAAAGATATGGGTGTAGGGCTCAAAAAATGGTTTTAGTTTTTGTGAGAAATCTAAAACATTGTCATTTTTTTCAGCAATGATACTATTAAAGAAAAAAGTCAATAAAGACTTTAACACAAGATTGTTACAGCAGACCGTGAACCCACAAAAAAGAGAAAACAACAGTGATAATAATAAGAAACATATTTTTTAGCTAAATAAGCAAATTAGAATAAAGAATTATGTTGCTGATGACTGTAGTAATCTTGCTGAAAAATGCGTAAATAATAATAAAAACACGTAAATAATAATAAACAAGCTTACATATAGCTTAGGAATGGTTTAACATAAAGTTTTGGCGGTTTTAAACCTTGACTTTTCCAAACTGCGGTAAACCTTGAAAACAGTTATCGTCCCATGCCTTGTGGTATATACTCTTTTTAAAGTTCACTTATAGGGATAGTTCACTCAGAAATAAAAACTCTGCCATTACTTACTCATTGTCCCCTTGTTGAACACAAATGTTTACAGTGAAGAACGCTGAAAAAACAGCCACTGACTTCCAGAGTAATTTTGTTCACAGTACTATGGATGTAGATTTAGATGTAGAATATCAATATTTGTGCCAAGGTATTTGTATGATTGCACATTTTTGACAATCTGATGAAATGAAAGTGTTTACCTGTGTGTGAGAAGCCTTCCTAATATCGACTATCATATCTTTTGTCTTTAATACATTTAACTGAAGATATGACTCCTCGCGCCATCTAACAAAATCACTACTCGACCGTTATTCGACCGTTTCATTATCATGAAGTTGGCTGACAATGACAGTGTCATGTCTATTTTCCCACCTACTCTGGCACATATTTGTGTAAAGGATGTATAACTTATCCTTGCAACTTCATTTACTGGACCGTTTTTGGGAAAAACTTTATTTAAACATTCCTAGAGTTATGGGTGTCATTCATTAACTCGTTCACTCATAGATTTTTCTAACATTCTTCAGAATATCTTGTTTTGTGTTCAACAGAAGAAAGAAATTCACAAAAGTTTAGAACCTCTTGAGTTTCAGTAAATGGTGAGGTCTGCAACAATAGATCATACTTTCAAACTTTGTTTTCCATCTGCAGTAGTAAATCTCCACCCTGAACGACATTCATTTCAAGTTCCATTGACTTACGTGTCTCCATCATCGTCCTGCCAGGTGGTTCTGCTGTAATCCATGCTCTGCAGGAAGACTCGAGCCTCCTGCAGCTTCACCATGTCCATCTGTGGTCTGTACTCCTGGAGGCCGTACGGGCTTGAGTGATCCCCCACTCGGGACTCAGATGGCCAACACAAGCCTGAGCTCTGAACCGGGACCGATACAGTCAGGTCAGTCACTGCTGCAGTTACAGGGCACTCTGTTAAAGACTGTGAAAACAGAAAGACAACAGTCAGATCATTTTTCCCATCCTCCATATGGATTTTCATGCTTCAAATAGTTTAGATGTTTTAAGCCACAGGTAAGCTGACTCTTGCGCTATTTGGTTTCATGTTTCATACTGCACAATTGAACCAGGGTATTCATACACTGTTCAATCCTAAACTTTGGGTAAGCATCCTTATTTGCATATTTTGCAGTGTGATTGTCTCACGTGACCTGTTTGTTTATTTAAAAGCACTATGTTTTGTATCCTCATATTATATATTGTTGACTTAAGTTCAAGGTTAAATGGTCTATTTTTCACTATAAATGATCATCTGGCATATTTCCCGTCAAAAAGTCCTCAAATTGTTAAAAAGCGCATTATATTTGTAACTGTGCCCAAGTCCTTACCCCTAGCCCTAACCGCAATTTACCTCTGAAATCAGAGGAAAGTTGTGGGTTAACAGGAAACGTGTAGAAGCCCTTTACCCTTGTTTATCCCTTATCTTTGAATCCAAGGTATTTGATTGGCTGTCAGCTGTGAAGCTTCTAGCACCGCATTCTTTCAAATGCATTTCTGCCAGTGCAAGTAAATATTGTTCGAGGTTACTCTGGTGCCACAGAACTGATCTGAGGGCATTTTTTTTGCATATATCAGTGAACGTGCAAAAAGCAGAAGGAAACCAGCTATATCAATGTTTTAGACAGTCACAGACACACTGTGAATCATATATAAAGAGAAAGTCTGACGGTAATAGAAAATGTGACAGCTGGGGAAATAAGACATTGTTTCATTCTTACCTTTAAAGTCCTAAATGACACTGACATCACAAATATTTAAATAAGGACAATAATCTATAGATCAGAACCATACAGAGTGAAATCTCCACATTTAAATACACAGGATTAATGGGTAGCTTCAGGTTCAATATGAGATGTAAAACATTAATCCATAATGTTCTTTATTTGAGATCTAAGGTCTCGGCTGTGAAATGCCCTGTAGCTTAGAGTTCCTTAACAGGTGGGTCACGACGCATTTTAAGAAGTATTTTAAGTGTGTCGCAGAGTGTCCTTGTGATGCATGACTATAATTTGTAAAGACTTGTGAAAGCTTATGATGTTTCAAGTGCAGTTTATATGAGATTGAAATGTCATGTGAAGAGTTCAGATGCAAAAACCTCTAAATCAGAAATGGCCAAATTAGGGCCCACAGGCCAAGGTAACCTTTGATTTTGCCCACTACCACATCTGAGAATGATGGAGAGGGTTGGGGTGAACGACTTTAACAGATCCTCATTTCTAATTTGACGTAACCTTTTACGTTTGTTTGTTTTATTACTGAGCAACATTTAGCTAATTAATTGTAAACAAATCTGAGGTTTTTAAAACATACTGTCACTCGACAAATAGAGGACTATGCAGAAGACATTGGTGAGCAAATCATGGCAAAAACTTGTGTAACTCCATTCTGCTCTAAATTAGATTTGTTTTGTTTTTATTGTAATAAGATCATTATAAAATGTAAAAAATATATATATATATATACTGTATTAGTTATAATAAAGTAATGTTTTAATTTAGGAAATCATTCATGGCAACCATATTTAGCTTCAGCCCAGTAGCCTGAATAAAGTTCGGTTTTCATAAGAAAAGGTTTGGGCACCCCTGCTGTAAATGCTGTGTGAAATTTCAGCCTTCTATGTTTATGTTCAGTTATTTCACTTTTGAGGCAATAAAAATAACCTCTTCATAGCTATGAAAGTAAAATTACCGAGCCTACAGACACGAGCCTGAGGAAAAATTGTCATTTTAGAAGAAAATATCAAACTGCACAACTCTTCATGCTCTCTAAAACAGTGTTTCTGATAGAATGCAGCAATCACCATTGTTAACTTCAATAAGAGAAATGAAGAAATCTGCTAAATGTGCGGTTTCAGCAACAACCCTCAAAACAGTGCTATGATAAAGTCCTGCTTGTTATACAGTGCTCTTTATACCTTTATACAGTTAAAAAGTTATACAGTTTAAAAAAAAAATCATTTGTACTAAATTGAACTGAAGCAGTTTTAATTTAACTAGAACTATACCAGTACTCTACACCACTCTACACCAAATTTCATATAATTTTATAATTCAATTTAATTTATATATATATATATATATATTTATATATATATATATATATATATATATATATATATATACACACACACACACACACACACACACACACACACACACACACACACACAGTTGAAGTCAGAATTAACAGCCCCCTTTTTTTTTTTTTTTTTTTTTTTTAATTTCTGTTAACGGAGAGTTTTTTTTTTTTTTTAAACTTAATTTCTAGAATAATAGTTTTAATAACTTCTCTCTAACAACCATGATGACAGTCAATAATATTTCACTAGATATTTTTCAAGACACTAGTATTCAGCCTAAATGGTAATTTAAAGGCTTAACTAGGTTAATTAAATTAATTAGGTAGGTTAAGATAATTAGGCAAGTTAGAGTATAATGGTGGTTTGTTCTGTAGATCTTAAAATATAGCTTAAAGGGGCTAATTATTTTTACCCTTAAAATGTTTTTTTTTTTTTTAATTAAAACTGCTTTTTTAATAGTCGAAATAAAACAATTAAGACATTCTCCAGAAGAAAAATATTATCAGACATACTGTAAAAACTTTATTTGGGAAATATTTAATAATAATAATAATAATAATAATAATATTCAAAGGGGGGCTAATAATTCTAACTTCAACTGTATATGTGAATGAGAATGAGAACCATTGCTGTGGCTCTTACGTATAGCTGTGTTGTCTGGGCATCCTGGCAGTCTTGGATTTGCTGCGGGCTGTAGGCACTGGGAAGTGTCTGTCCAGTCTGAGTAAAGTTTGGTGCGCTGGAAGAGCTGGACATGAATGGGAACGCGCTGCACTGCTGATGAATGCTGGAAACATCCCATCTGTTGTATCGAACTGCTGCCATGTCTGTGTAGCTTACACTGGTTCCTGCAAAGAAAACAATCATCTTAAGACTCTCAATTCCAATTTTAAGATCTAAATTCTCATTGTGCTTAGATGGGTATTCTTACCAGCTGTAGGAGATTGTACTGATGCCAACACCTGCTGGAATCAATTTGGAGGATGATTAATGTTGTGGGACGAATAAAGCCTCAAGACATTTGTACTTTATTATGCTTGACTCACTGGGACAGAAGCTGCTCCACTAGCAGTATAAGATGCTGTCGAGCAGGATGGAGGTGCTGAGGTGGAGGTTTCTCTCTTTCTCTTCTGCTCCAGGAGTTTCTTCACTGTGGGAAGAGGGTAACACACCTTTTCCTTCGGAGCTGGGGAAACAGATTTTTTCTTTGCTGAAGCTATAACGTACAGGAGACTGGGATTTATTCTGAATACTCAGAACATTTTTGGCAAAGAAGATTTGTGAACATTATAGTAAAGATAAGTTAAATATAGCACACCTCAAGTAGTGCTTATTTTTTCGAGGTTAAATCATTAATTCCATTCTTTCATTAGAAAGAATGGCATCCAACAGTAACAAAAATAGAAGATTCCTATAGGTGTAAAATGCCTAATCTGATGGAGCTCAATAAAAAACAGACTGGTAGTTTTGTTTTGTTTTATTTTACACAATATATGATCATAACTTCCTCACGTACACTTACATACAGTTGAAGTCAGAATTATTAGCCCCCCCTGTTTATTTTTTCCCTGTTTTCTCTTTAACCGAGAGCAGATTTCTTCAACACATTTCTAAACATAATAGTTTTAATAACTCATTTCTAATAACTATATAACAGCTAATAATTAAAATCTAATAACTATACAGCAGGGGTGCTCAATCCTGTTCCTGGAGATCTACCTTCCTGCAGATTTCAGTTGCTACCCATATCAAACACACCTAAACCAATTAATTAGGACCTGAACACCACTTGATAATTACAGGCAGGTGTGTTTTGATATGGGTAGCAACTGAAATCTGCAGAAAGGTAGATCTCCAGGAACAGGATTGAGCACCCCTGGTGTACAGCTTAAAGTGACATTTAAATGGCTTGACAGGGTTAATTAGGTTAACTAGGCAGGTAAGGGTAATTAAGGTTACGTTTCGTTAGGGATAGGGTTTCGTTTCATTCTTTTTTTTATAGCACATTTTAATCTGTTTTTATATTATTTTTTTTTAATTTTTTTTTTATACTTGTCTCTCTTATTCCTGTTTATGTATCTGATTTTATAATGATGGTTTCAAAAAAATAAAAAAATTTGCCTAAAGGGGCTTATAACTTTATCCTTAAAATAATGTTTTAAAAAAAAAATTTAAACTGCTTTTATTCTATTCAAAATAAAACAAATAAGACTTTCTCCAGAAGACAAAATATTATCAGACATACTGTGAAATTTTTTTTGTTAAACATCATTTGGGAAATATTTTAAAAAGAAAGAAAAATTCAAAGGGGGGCTAATAATTCTGACCTCAACTGTTTATGCTAAGAATTATCTTTCACTGTGAGAAAATGTTCATTCTGCTTCCATATGCTTCGAATGCTTCTTCCTGTCAAAGAAATATTATCATAAGTAATTAACAAACAGGGTTTACTACATGAAAGGTTTTACCAGCATATCGACTGTTTATTTTGCAACATATAAGTTATTTTGAGTCATTTAGCAGGATTCTTTTATCCAAAGCAGCTCACAATTGAGGAGGCATTCAGCTATTCAACAAGAAGAGGCAATACACACAATAAATGCTAATTACACAGAAGAACTGTTAGTGCTCAGATAGATTTTTATAGAGAGAAGACGGGTGGTTTGTCAAGCCCCCTCACCTTGTGTAAAGCACACTTCATATACTGTAGATGTTGTTCAGAGATATGACTAAATCACTACCAAAATGTAAATTACACTTTAAAATAAACACCAATAGAAATAAAAAAAAAATTTAAAATTATTTCAACAAGCCTTGGTGAGCATGAGAAAGTTTTTACATTAAAAATAATAATATTGTATGGCTTTCTATTATGCCTTTTGTTTCTTTTTCATTCTTTGAAAACCTGTTATAGCACATTTTAATCTGTTTTTATCTGTTTTTATAATATTATAATTTTTTTTAATACTTGTCTCTCTTATTCCTGTTTATGTATCTGATTAGGCCAAATCACTAAACTGGTAGATCTGACTCTATGGGATAGTGGCGTAATTAAAATGAGATCTAGACCTTTTATTAGTATTGTGCTATATAAATAAACTTGCCTTGCCTAATATTGCATTTTCACTAAATATGTAGTTTATTGTACGATAATATAATGACAAAATTACAAGCAATGACAATCCTGTCCAAGCAAATAACAGATTTGAATAAAAATACTAAATATATAATTTTAAGTTTGAAACAATGAATGATTTGAAGAAATGTTTAATTCTATTACATCCCAGATAAAAAAACTTTAATTTTACAATTGCAAAGAGATTTTAAAGCAATCGAGAAAACATCCACATCTTGTTGATGCCCACTTAATGTTGTTATTTTCAGGTAAACCCGATCAATTACACCAGTAATGTGATTTCCCCAGTGCCATTTTAATACCAGCTGTTGATATGACACACACACACAAAAAATTATTTTCTTAGTCTTTACGGAGGTTTCCAGTAGGCATCGGTTACATCTTCTAGAGCAGAGGGAAGGAAAGTTTCTTCAAAATCTTGACCCCAAACGTGAGATAAGTAAAGATATTTCCGCCAAAGGAGCATAATGCTCATCCTCTAACCCGTGAGGAAGGCACTCCATTTGGAAAAGAGGTGGTGAGGTCACGTCTACCTGTCTTCTTCATCAGAAACCCTACGTCTGTTTCACACAGCACTCTTTCTGTAACTATTTCCTTTACTCCGTTACGCTCTTTGTGTCAAACCACATCTTCCTGCAACGGTGACGTATAGGCTTAAAGGGGCCCATCAGAGGTGCATGAACAGATACTACTACACACTGATTCAAAGGCAGATATGATGTCTTCTAGCCTTTGCACTGAATGGTAGTACTGAGCTGTAGACAGCGTCAGACATCACAGTTAAGTTGTATTACTTATTCTCACCCCCAGGGGTAAAAATAGATTAAATAATAAAGATATTAAGTGCTTTTAAATAGTTTTTTTTCTGTAGAAGAAAACATTTTTATGTCATTTGACTTTTTAAAATGAATGTCAGAATATGTTTTGTAACTCCTAAATGTAATAAAAGTTCTGCCTATATGTATAAGCCTGAGTATTATATCACTGTTTTGGTCAATTCCTCTATTTATAGCGCAGATACTATAGTTACTTTGAGTGTCTCTATCTGTAAAGTATTCCTTTACAGGAAAAATCACTGGTTTCCCCAAAACATTATGTAACTCTTTTGGCGATGGGGATTCAAAAGAGGAAGGCGACTTTGGTTAAATCAGCATGGAAATTCCACTGGCCGAAACCTCGAGAGGATCATTCCTTTTCTTATCACTCTTCTTGTTTTTTTCTCCTTTCCAGTTCATGATCTCCATTTCTCAGCCTGTTTTACAGCTCACTATCTCAAAAAAATAATGGACTGCTGCTTATCGGCCAACATACAATGGTCATATTAAATGTCTCAGTGTGAAGAAAGATATGATAAAATGCTCTATCTGAAAATACGCTAGTCAAAAATTTGGGTTAAAACAATGACAGACTTTGACAGATATACAAATTTATAAGGTCATGTAATAACAGCTCACAATGAATCATTTATTTACATTGTGTAGGAGATACATGAGTAAGTTCATGAAGCAATGGGTTATCAGGGTAAAATCATTATCATAAATGACCACAACCATACTAGGGTTACAGTGGTTATAAATATATAAAGCCTTTACATCATAAAACTGTGTAACACTTTCCATTGCATCTCTATTGGAGCCACAATGATCAGACATTTTAGTAGATATGTCTTATAGTAGACAGACACAAATGTCTGTTGAATGTTTTTTTATGTTTTTGTTTTAGAATTGTTTGTTAAAAATGAGATTACAAATAAGAGGTCATAATCCTAACTTATTTTTATTAAAGCAAATGTTTATTTATAAGCTATGAACTTTGTCACTAGTAGGTTATCAATCAATGCACTTAGTTTAATATATTATTAATATTAAACGGTAGCCCAGTTTTAAGTCATATCCATTTAGGGTATGAATGTTATCACAATGTTTAAGAGATGTTGGAAAAGAGATAGCAGTTTGTCTCCTTACAAAACTTACAATGAATTAGATTTTTAAACTGAAATGAACCGATTAGTGAGACTACGTCATACTGACGATGGAGAGACATTGAAGATGTGTTTCCCCTCATGGTAGAAAATCTCAAATACTAGCAGGTCTACTTTTCTTATCAAATGCAATGATGGTCACATGAAACTATAGGGGACATTCTACTAGAAACGTACTTTTTTACTTATAAAATATGTGACAGAACCTGACTTAAGCTTGTCGTCCTCAAAAATAAAACAATAAGATGTCACTTCTGAGTTATAGCCTTAAACGTGTATTGCACACATTTTATGTTAAATTTAATGCATATGTGACAGAAACATGGGGACAAATGTACTGTAGAACCTAATAAGTTGAGGTAACTCAAATCATTTAAGGAAACAGATTGCAACAAACCATTTAAGTTTAAAAACTAATCCTAATGAGTACTGTGAACTTAATCCACTTAAGTAAATGAAGCAATTTGAGCACAGTAAAAGCCAATAAATTAAGGCAACTCGAACCGTTTGAAGAAACCGATTGCTACAAACCATTTGAGCTACTAAACTTATCTATGAGTATAATGAACTTACTCCATTTAAGTTGAAGTAATCACGTATTTAATTAACTCATTACCTTCAACACTGAGTTCAAAACTCTTGAAATTAGTAGAATTAACTTTCATTCAAGTTTGAGTTATAACTACACATTTCATTTGATAAAGTTGACTGTTGGGTTTTACAGTGTATAAATGTATTTGTATTATATATTTGTAGTGTTTATTTGTAGAATTTATTTAAAATTTCATGTTTTAATAAATTGATGTGAATGATGACAACTTGCTATTTTTGAAGTTTTCCCCCCTAAATAACAGTTTTTAGCATAACAAAACTATTAAAGCTGCAGATTCAACTGAGCTAAGGACAAGGACAATAGCCCCTTTCACACATACAGACCTTTCCGGAAAATTACCGGCAATTTTCCGGAAAGGTTGTATGTGTGAACAGGTCCTTTTTGAAAATACCGGTAAATTCGTTCTGGCTATTTTCCGGAAAGAGAAGTTGTAACATTACCGGCAATTTGCCGGAATGCTGCGCTGTGTGAACGCAGAAGGAAGATTTCCGGAATAAGCTCGTGCACGTCTAGAACGTGCTGACGTGAGACGTCTGCTTTAGCCAATCACAACAGTCAGACGCATTTACGTCCGCGCGGTTTGTGAGAATAAAAGCCTTTGAATATTTTTCCAGACACATTTAGCTGCTAGAAGTTAGTCAGATAACGTTTATATGTTCTTCTTAATGCCAACTGTGCAAATAATCATCGATAAGATGCTTATGATAAGCCGTTGTTTGTTTACCTTCAAGCTTTGCGTGTGCCCATGAAACAGCCTGTGAGCGTCAGCACACGCACATATTATGAACATCTCGACATGCGAATATGATCCAGTGAAAGTTGTTTACAATATTGATCATCCACAGAGTTTGTAATTTAGTCAAATGTTTACAAATACAAGCGCAGCCGTTTAAAGCCCATTTGTGGTGAATGATGTCAGAATTTACCGGTATTTTGGAATGGATGTGTGAATGCTCTTTTCCGGAAATTTTCCGTAACGTCCTCGCCTGTGTGAACAGCGCTTTTTTGAATATACCGGTAAAGTCGTTCCGGAAATTTTCCGGATATTTACCGGTATCACTGTGTGAAAGGGGCTAATGACAGAGTTTGTACAGTGTAAAGTATGAGAATCAAATGAATGACATAGCCTATTCCTTTATAGAACAACAGAAATTAACCATCAGTCCATTTTAAAAATGTTTGGCATGAAATGATTTTGATTCACTGTATTTATGTTTTTATTTCAGGGACAAATACTGTACGTTTCTGGTAGAATGCCCCATAGGCTACCTACACATAATTGTCGCTTTGAATGACCGAAACTTAAACAGTAATCGATTGGGATACCCTCGCACCTCTAGACGGAAAACCCTGACCAGTGAGTCACGCGCGCGTGGGAGTCTCGTGGGGATTCCGTAGCGCTCTGATAGACACACACACACACGCGCGCGCGCACACAGTAGCCTACATCTATTTACTACTCGCTGAAAATGTTAGGCGATAGTTTATTCCAACGATCTTTATCTATTCCACAAGGCATTTGTTCCACTCAAAAACGGCAACATTTATAGTTTAATTTTATTTTCATTACAGTCTCGTACTCTGTTTACTTAAAAAACGACCCACACCCATTAAAGAGGAAGCGAAAGTCAGGGAGGAGTAATTTCTCGAGGGGGGTTGTCCAAAAAGCTGTTCAAATGAAATCGGTCACTTACAGCGCTATGTTGTTGGGGAATCCTTTATTCAAATGAGCTCATTCTATTTTAAACCGACACACATTGCTGAACTTACGTCATAAAATATATCTTAAACAGCAAAATAAAACGTATAATCCATTCAAAACTTTGTTACGACCATACATGATATTTAATAACTTACGCCCTTGTTAAATGACTTAGTTAACGCTTATCGGTTTAACATAGAAATAGGTCGACAAACTTGCCTTCAGTCTCATTCGTTGAAAAACTAGGCAAGTTCAATTTCACTCTAACGTATTATTTAATAGACGTAAACCAGGCTGTACGACATAACATAATTTGGTTAAACATTATTCTTAATAAGTTTACACAGGTAGAAAACTCAGTTTTATGTAATAGCTAACTGCAGGTAGCCTTTGTTTACAGTGTAATCTAGTTATTTTCTTTTGTCTCTTTATTAACCACTTCATAAAATCAACACTGTTATGCAAGTCATGTCAAATTATCCATCACATTTTTGTCGTAAAGATCGTGAAAATAAATAAAAAGTTGTCTTACATTTCTGAAAGTGCATGTCAGAATCCCTTTTGCTGTCTATGATTATCGGCTCCCACGCCAGGTCAAATGAATGATGTGAGCCCCAAAGCAGCCTCTGATAAATGTCAACTACCGGAGTCACTGGCACGTTGTACTATGTACACAGAGAGCACGTTGGACTGTCTCCGCCCTCCGTGTGACGTACCATCAAATGCTAAAGCCCATTGGAGGGCGGTGGATTATTAATTTTCCGGTAATGGCAAAGGAAAACAGTAGAGTGTTTGATGCTCTTCCATCAGGCTTAAAATGTCTACATCAAATGTGAGTAGGCTAAGTAGACAACGGAGCGTCTTAAACGTGATGTTACATTTAATGGAGTTAATAAGTTATGAAACTGTACTTTATTATGAATTAGAGTACAGCTTTTTTCCTTCTAAAACTTGGCAATATCCATTTCAGTATGTTAAGTGGAAATATGCAAGGTGGTATAAAAGTGTGGTATGGCCAGTTTATGTAAAAGACGTTTTTAGAACTCTCTTTTAATTTAAAGACATTTGTTGTTTTTAAATGTATTAAAAATAAAAATAGTTTGACAACAAGCAGAATATGTTTATGGGCCAGTGACATCACCACATTGAAATGGTCTATCTATTTTCCAACAATAAAACAACAACAACATAGTTTTATCAAAATAAACACTCAATAAAATACCAGAAAAAAAGAATAATTCATATGTAGAAAGAAAATCTTAATAGGCATTTTTAGAACATTTGATTACTCATTCATGTATATATTTTCAGTCCAGTAACCTGCAGTATAAGCACAGGCTAAAATAATTCATTTTTACACAAATATACCTTGTATCTGTACTTTTTTAAACCCCAGTTTCTGTTACTTTAAGATCTGCATGTTTCTTCCTCTTTCTCCACCCACTCACTTTCATCCTCTCTGCAGTAGAAAGGTTCCCTTTAAATGTCGAAGTAGCTCAGTCACGGTTATTTGGTGTGTAATGAGAAAAGGAGTGTTATTTACTTTACTCCATATTAAGTGTATTTTGAAGTAGCTCTTTAAAATCTGGAGAGATGTGTCTGTTTGGCAAGGCTCTGTGCTTTTGATCTACAAGAGCAAGCTTGAAAACCCTCCAAGCCAGAGTGTAAACAACATCATGTCAGCTTGAGAATGACAGGTTATATTTGTTGGTGGACGTAAGTTCCGCTTTTCCTAATAAGGAACAGGATTTTAAGAAGGCTATTAGACTAAGGCAGGTCATGGATGCAGCGAACAATTGTGTCTGGGTGGAGAAATTGCCCCATCTAGTGAACAAATATATTACTTACACGCATGACATTTCATTCCATCTACAAAAAAAAAACATCTGTATGTTTAAAGTGTGTATGTGTGTGTGTGTGTGTGTGTGTGTGTGTGTGTGTGTGTGTGTGTGTGTGTGTGTGTGTGTGTGTGTGTGTGTGTGTGTGTGTGTATATATATATATATATATATATATATATATATATATATATATATATATATATATATATAGAGAGAGAGAGAGAGAGAGAGAGAGAGAGAGAGAGAGAGAGAGAGAGAGAGAGAGAGAGAGAGAGAGAGAGAGTTATATGTCAGAATAGATAATAGTTTTAATTTCTAATTGTATTTCTTTTAAATTTAAAAGCTAATTTATATTTATATTCTGTTTAAACCATTGGATTGCATGATACCAGTTTAATTAAGAGATTTACCCAGATTTTCAATCACAACAATTGAAAACCTTTTTGTTATGCTGACTAACTTTCAATTTCTGAGGGAAAATGCTTCAATTGACAATTTTTTAATTTGATATTTCTAAGAAATTATATCAGACCATTGTAGATCAAAACTAAAATGAATGCTTTATTCAAACAAATACCAAGTAAATTCAGTAAATCTGGAGAATTTTAAAGTGGTCCTTTATATTTTTCCATGTAGTTATTTAAATTCAATAGTATTGGATTGTGTGTTTTTACCAACAGCAATTGTGTGAATTTAAAGTGATAACTCAAAGTTTTTAAACTCTTGATTTTAATATGCTTACAACATTTAACTTTAATAATCCTTCTTCTTTAAAAAAAAAATCAATTTCTAAACCAAAAGATCTTGGTGGTCTCTCCTTACCCAATCTCTAGCTTTATTATTGGGCTGCTCAACTCAAAATCATAAGCTGGGTTGTGAATAGGCAAGACGCTTTGTGAATTGATTTTGAATCTTTATTTTGTCATCTAAGAATTTTAGATTCCCTGTGTTTTATTGATAATTTAATAAAATCTCTTACTGAAGATATGATTGTCTATAATACAATACTTATTTGTAATGATGTGAGGAAACATTTAAATATGCCCCAACTTAGACTCAGAATATCCGTGACTAAGACCTCAAACCTCTGTGTACAACTCTTAACCAGAAATGTATATTACTAAAATTGTCTACTTCTCAAATTCCAACAATTTCCGTGTGGATTTCTTTCCTCCTTTAGAAAAGGTACTTATGACCTCAATCACAAACATGACAAATTCGGGAGACTTTAGGATACTCTCCAATTCTTTCTACACAAACTCAGATTTTTATTTTTCTCTTTTGTTTTGTTAAACAGATACATTTATGCAATTTATTTAATTGGCAGCGGTTTTTTTTTTTTGTCTGATTGTCTTTGTTTTTTGTACTATTTAAAAATCCTTAATAAAACAAAATCAATTTCTTTCTGTCACTGTCAGAGTGACACCATCACGATCACTTCCCTACCACTCTTCATCTTTGACACATATTAGTCATAGACAGTATATTAAAGGAAATGGAACCAATTAGCAGGTTGCATTATTTCACCATTAATGACTAAGTAACTCCTTTAATTATACCATTATTCAGGCTGTTACAATTGTTGAGCTATATTTACTGGCAGAAATAGGCAAATATGACAGGCAATCAGAGATGTGTCGAAGTTTTTGTCTGCCACCTTTTATGTGACAGACAAAATGACATGATGTTTTCCATGTTGTCAAGCAGGCTACAGGCTAGTTAAGGGTCAATAGATGTCATTTTTCCTTTAACATTTTAAAGCATTTGACAGGTACTTTAACACCAAGGTTCTTTATCTGTAACAGTGTTTGGAGAGACACACAATAAAACATATTTTAAAACAGACGAATCATCAACACCTATACACATATGCTGACAAAGGTATCCTATAGGAATCCACATCAAATTGTTCACAAAAGTGATTTTATATATTAAAAATAATATCATATGTCTACTTTGTTTCAAATAGCTATTATATTAAAGAAAATACAATTTTAATGAAGTCAAATAATGTTCATAGTCATTTAGAGCAGGGGTTCCCAAACTTTTTAGCCCGCAACCCCCAAAGTAACAATGCTAGTGACTTAGGAAACACTTTATTTTGATTGTCCACTTAAGTATTAGTAGACTGTCAGCTTAATATCTGTTAATACTGCTCCTTCAACAGACATTTAACTGACTATAAGAAACTTTGCAAGTACGTGTCAACTTACTTAAATATATAAATTAGCACACAAAGGCGCACACACACCAATACCCCTAAGTCTGTTCATTATTTAATTTTGAAGAATGTCACTCTGAGACCATCCTTCATGTTCAGTTGTGGCCTGTATTTATTTTTGATGTATGTGAGTGCCGTAAAGGTGTCAAAAAGTTTAACCTGGTGCCATAAAAATCAATGTGTTGTGTCTTTATTACAAAGCAATCACCCCTAAAAGGCTGATGGCTTTTTATTTGCATGTTGTTTTATAATGTAACTGTTAAATACTACTTTTTTCTTCTGTATGTTATGGATAAGATATGGTCATTCTAATATTTTAATAAAATGAATTAGATTTTTTTTGAAAATCACCAAGCAACTCCCTGTGGGTCCCTATACTCCCACTTTAGGAACCACTGATTTAGAGTATGTTTATGTAAAAGACAACAGCCTTAAAATATCTAACAGACTAAAATAAATTAATGTTTACACAATGAAATGTATTATATTTTATTTTGTTAAAACCTTCTGCTGAATTAAATTAAAATTAATTTGTATTTTGAGGAACTTGTCAAATTATGACCTTTTTTGGTAGGCCTACGCGTTACAGCAAATGACATATTGGTTTCTTTTGTACAACAACAACAAAGTAATAAACATAGCCTATACTATTTATAATTAAATGATTTAAAAAGGCACATTAACTATAATATTAGTTATTAAACTGTTTTTTTTCACAAAGGTCAGTGTTGTATTTGCATGTTTGTGTTTTTCTAGCCAGTTCGAGAAGTTCTGCGATTTTATAAATAATTTAGAATAATTCCACACTTAACTCTGTCTCTGAGAGACTGTTTGTTCTGATATTTTACTAGGCTATATATAGTCGACAAATATGGTTGCTAAGCTATATGGCAGTAAGGTATAGAAATGGCTAAAAATAAGAAGCTCTGAATGCAGTCACATGGTTCATATCCCGGAAATACACTGCTGTGGCTGGGGGAAGATGGCGTTATGAGCGGCTCCAGACAGAGTAACAAAAAGTAGGGCAATAGACTCAAGAATTAACTATTAACCAGCGTTTAAGCTTCACAAAAGGACAACAAAGCCCAGCCTTACATAAGTCATAAATGTATATCAATATAGCCGCTCGCTGAATTATGTGAGGGCTCGCCACAGATGGACAAAGACAGACTCGCAGTGAGTATATGCCAAAATAAACACGAGAAAGTAGCCTTAAAAGGGGCGTGTAGCGCGTTTCACGGTTTGGAGAAACACTGATGAGGAGGGGAAAATGCAGACGGAAGCTTATATTGGCGTGCATCATGTGTTCGATAGCAGAGCGATGCGGATCGATGACAGTGTTTTGATATTTAGTATGTATCGCTTGATGCACGCTGAACGCTTGCATCGTATACTATTACGCGTATCTGAAGGTGTCATATTCCGCTTTATTTTATGACCCAATTTTCCAGTGCTTTGTTGGCTATTTGTTTGCTCTTTTTTTGAATCCAGTCAGCGCACCATGAATGTGCATATGCAACAATGTGATACTGATGTATTACATATTATATTGCTATTTTTTAGTCTGTTGTTTTGTATTAAACACCGTTGCGAAAACCCCATATAGCCTAGATCAGGGATGCCCAAACTCGGTTCTGCAGAGTTTAGCTCCAACTTGCCTCATCATCACACCTGCCAGGATGTTTCTAGCAAGCCCAGTAAGACCTTGATTACTGGGCTTAGGTTTGTCCGTTTGGGGCTAGAGGTAAACAATGCAGGACTTACCTGGACATACAAAGGGTTTGGGTACCCCTTGACTAAATTAGATATTTGATAGATGGGAAAATGGGAAAATTACATAACACAATTTTATGTTTGGATTTTACCCAAATAAAATGTCATGCTGTATATGCAATGTTCAAAATTTATCAGCTATAATGTTATATACTGTATACGTTATTTGCTCTGTAACCTCAGCATAACTGACACACACATACACACACACACACACACACACACGCACACACACACACACACACACATATATATATATATATATATATATATATATATATATATATATATATATATATATATATATATATATATATATATTTTTTTTTTTTTTTAGAAAAGTAGTTGGTAAAAAATTTAAAATAAATAGATTGAGTCTGTGAGACCAAATGGAAATCCTCATGTATTGCTGATTCAGGTACTCAAAATGTAGTTACTACAAAAACGTGAGTTTGTCTGTAAAAGCTGGAAATCTTTCCTTTGTACTATTTCCAATTAAATAAAATTTATTTAAAAAAATGCATTATACTATTTTGGATTTGGGGTTGTATTATATCATATTACAATTTTTACAGTTATATTAGTTTGTACAATTTGTCACCAAGGACCACAAAACCATGTATGAGTGTCAGTATAGTGATATTGGCTGAGATATTACTATTAAAAAAAATCTTTAACCTAAGGGTTTAAAAAAAAAAATACTGAGAAAATTGCCTTTGAATTTGTATAAATGAAGTGCTTAGCAATGCACTATACTTATAAAAATAGTTTTGATATACTGTATGTAAAGTAGGAAATTTACAAAAATGTCTTCATGTAACATGATCTTTCAGTAATATTCTAATGATTTTTTCCCATTCGATAATAAAAATGGATAATTTTGGCCAATACATTGTCTTTTTGGAAATTGTCAAAACATATCCCTGTGGTTTTGTGGTCCAGGGTCACATTTATATGGTGGCCGAGAAAGCTTAATGTTCTTCGATTTTAGAAAACACATGCAATTGCTAAAAACGGCAGCAAATTAAGATCTTCATCCACTGTACAACACACATGCTGCAGATCCTTACAATGCATACACATTAAAAAATGTGCTGTATTTTCACACAGCGCAAACAATTTACGAAAACGCACTGCATTTTTTTTTTTTTACAATACTTTCAAATCGCACAAAACACAACGAAAACGTTTCAAGAGGACCCTAAAACGTGACAGACCCGGCTATTTAGGTTATAGTTATTTAGGCTAATAAAAAACAAAAGACAATGGAATCAGGATGTTAAAATAAACAAACAAAAGATCACCTTTCAAAGATCACCCACAACTTTACTGAGCACTATTTACGGCACAGTGGCTTCCGTCATGTTTTTGGGTCCCCTTGAAAAATTTCTATTGTGTTCAAATGTTTTTGCAAATGTTGTGAGAAAATGCAGCCTGTTTTATTAACTTGTTTGTGTTGTGAGAAAATGCAGTGCGCTTTATTAATTTGTTTGCATTGTGCAAAAATACAGTGCGTTTGAATAATTTGTTTGCGTTGTGAGAAAATGCTGTGTATTTTTAATGTGTGTGCGTTGTGAGGATTTGCAACATGTATGCTGTCAAATGAAGATCTTTTCTTAATTTGCTGGCGTATTTTGTAATTGCACATGTTTTCTTAAATTGAAGCACATTTAGCCCTTTCGGCCACCATACATTTAATAAAATTGCACTATAAAAGAAATAGTATGTACTGTTATTCTATCTACAACTAATAATAATTAATGATTTATTACTTTACTTAATGCAGGCTGGTCCATGCTCATGGCTGGATATGCATCATTTTATTGGTGACCTTATGGCAGCCAGTGCTACAGTCACTGGTCATCCAATGGCAGAGCGACGTACTGAGGAGACACTAAGTTCTTGGCCCAAAGTCCCTCATCCTCCTCAGTCCATCCCATCGAGACAGAACCCTGTGAAAAATGCTGTTCGGTTTGGTGTGCAGTCTGAGGAAAGGGAGCCCAGACATAATGAAAGCCATGGTGGGTATATATTACAATAGACTACAATTATAGTGCTATAATTACACTTTAACTTTGTGGCATATTATTGGGAAACATGCTGAATTGATTGATTTCAGATACTTTGTTGAGACATTTACATATGTCATTAACTGGCTTAAGCAGCCTGTTACCAAATGCTAAGACCATTACATATTTCAACAGGACAGATACAGCTGATCAAAACTGCATTTATGTTTTTAATATACATTATAAATACATTATTCTTGCTATAAAAGTTGCTTTCAGAGGCATTCTCACGCAGATCTGGAGCAGCATAAATCTGATACGTTCATTTGTCCTAACTATCTATTAAAAAGAGATTAAAACATTATGGGAGTCAGCTGGCTGTTATTATGAAATAAACCCAGACAGGGTGAATAGGACTGTTTGATATGAAACAAAGGTTTCCTAAAAGTGGATGAGCAGATATTTTACCCTGGAAAAAGCCATTATTCAGAAACAGTTTACATTTGAGGTTTGAAAAGGTGATTTTACAATGTTTAAAATATGGATATGATACTAAGAGCTTGGATTTTTCTGTATATCCAATTGGAATTTGATTATAGCTGGAAAAGGGTGCCCAAACTTTTTCGTATGAAGGGCCAAAACAAAATATAATTGAGAGCCACGGGCCGAAGATGAACTACACCAAACTATTTTACATTAACGTTAGCATGGGTAATTCGCTAATTTATTTCATAATATTAAAAAATAATCACCTCTTTAAATCGTATATACTAATACATTATAACTTTTTCAATTATAGCTTATTGCAATAAAACCTAAACAGTCACATTTATAACACAGTGGAGTTCTAAATACACTGGTCAAGCAGAATCTGACCTTGTCTTGATTTGCTCACCAAAGTCTCTGCATTGACCTCTATTCATCAGGTGAAGGTATGTACATTTTAAACTAAATTACAGCATTTAAATGTAAACATTTAATTTCAGTTTAAGTCGCTTAAAATTAAAACACACAAATGAAAGTTTACATTTAAAATTTTAAATGAAAATCTCAAAAACATTGCCACCATTCTCCCTCTCCTTTCAGATAGTGGGCCTAATCAAAGATTTCCATGGGCCAACTTTGGCCCACGGGCCCTAGCTGGGGCATCTCTGATTTAGAAAGTAGTGTATGAACAACAAAAATAACATAGATGAAACCAGATTTTTTTTTAATTGATTTCAGAAATTCAGTCTACATTCATACGTGTTTTGAATTTCCATTCAAATGGTATTTTGCATTTCTGTCTGACCACACTGACTGGATTTATTGCCTGTAAACCTTCTCATGCAAAGTTAAACGTAGACTTGTCTGACATTGTTTTAAAAAACACACTCATTACAAAAACAAGGTTGTTTTGCAAAGTGTGGGTGAAGCAGAAATAAACAATATTTTGTTCGTCAGTTTGGTCTGCACTCCTCTTCCTGTACTGAGACCATTAAAGATAGCAGCAAGCCACAGAAACAATGCAGATACATTGTAAAGCGAATAATGATCATCACAAGATAAACAAATAATATCTGAAGAGTTACTCTGTGTGTACAGCTGCATTTTGCCCAACACTGAACATTCTTCAACTCCCATGCGGCTGGGATTAAAAAGTCCTATTGAAAAATAATTGCTAAAATATATTTTGATAAAAACTATTGGTGGTCAAATGACCTAAAGCTGGTTTTCCACTGTGCAGTGCGGTTTGGCATGATCATTTCAGTTCAGTTTTTCTGAGTTTGGTTTGCATTTCCACTGCAGTTTAGTACCACTTAAATGGGTGGGATTATTGCTATCATTGCACTGCTTTTACTTCTATGACTTTATGAAAAATTGTATAATTCTGGGTCATCCCATTTGTGTGTCTGAATTCGCTTCTCGGCTGTATGCTATGCTACACCGATGCTGCCATTTCACGTGTCTTCCTTGTGAAGGTTAAAATCATGCAAACCAGCAGTTCAGCAATGACTGCTCCTGGCTATATTTAAATATATTGGTTCGTGTCATAAATCCAACGATGCTAGTACTGACAATTCTCACAAACCAGTCAGTGATCAGCAGTGTGTACATGATACATTTTGGTAATGGTATAGGCTGATTTATACTTCTGCGTCAAGTGCACGCGTATGGTCTGATGTAGCCTTTGCGGAGTCACATAGCCCTCACTGTGGCTGATGCTGACTCCGATGTGCACCTCTCAAAAAATGTAACTACATGTTGCAAGTCACAACGACACATAGTGCAAGCTCTGTGATTGGTCGGATTGGTAGCTGTGCCGAGAGTGGGCGATGCTGAGAGCCGTGAGCCTGATGGAGCGAGTGTTTACAAGTATCGAATCTCGTGAAGGAGCTCCAGATGTTTTGTGTTTACCTTATGATTACAGTTGTTGCATGTTCGCCGGTTCCTGCCTCTGAATGAGGGAGTTTTATCTAGTTCAAGTTTATTTATAAAGCACATTTAAAAGCACTCACAAGACTGACCAAAGTGCTGCACATAAGACAAGGTAAAAAATATAAAAAGACAGAATATAAAAGCACAAAAATAAGGCAAGAGAAACGTCTGTAAAAAAATGTGTGGTAGAACGAACTATTAAAATAATCTTAAAAAGCCAAGCTAAAAAGGTACGTTTTAAGAAGTGATTTAAAAATGGATAATGATGGAGCCATTCTAATCTCAAGGGGCAAAGTGTTCCACAACCGAGGACCTGCCACTGAGAAAGCTCTGTCCCCTCTATGTTTCAGCCTAGACTGTGGAACTGAAAAAGATTCTGCTCAATTGACCTAAGAGATCTCACAGAAGTGTAAAGATGAAGCAGCTCTGAGAGATAGGATGGGGCTAGATTATGGAGGGATTTATAAACCAGTAAAACCACTTTAAAATCAATTCTGAATTGCACAGGCAGCCAATGAAGGCCTCATAGAGGGGTAATGTGTTCATATTTTCTGCTTTTACAAATAAATAAATAAATTTAAATCATAATCTACTTGTACATTAAGGTAGCGTTCAGACAAAAACAAAACACTCGCAAAAGAAACTTGATACAGAGGAACATAGCATAACCTACTCCCAGCTTGCGCATCGGATGTGTTATTGCAGAGCAACGCAATCAGAACACAGAAGTATAAATGCATGACTATGCACAAGGCATGCACCTACACTCTCAGAAATAAAGGTATGCAAGCTGTCACTGGGGTGGTTCATTTTCAAAAGATATAAATTTGTACCTAAATGGTCTATATGAATACCCCAAAGGTACATATTAGTACCTAAAAAGTACAAGTGACACCTCGCAAACCTTGTGTTTCTGAGAGTGTATGGTAACTACAATCGCTCAACGCAAAAGTATAAACCAGCCTTAAACCTCACCAGATCTCGTTCTAAAAAAAAAAACAGTTATTATGTATAGAATACCGGGGAAAAGCTGCACCAAACCAAACTGTATACCAGGGGTCACCAATCTCGGTCCTGGAGGGCCGGTGTCCCTGCAGGGTTTAGCTCCAACTTGCTTCAACACACCTGCCTGGGTTATTCGAGAATACCAACTAAGAGCTTGATTAGCTTGTTCAGGTGTGTTTGATTAGGGCTGGAGCTAAATCTGCAGGACACTGGCCCTCCAGGAACAAGTTTGGTGACCACTGCTGTATACCATAACATGCAGTAGAAAAGTGCCTTTAGATAGGATATTTCTGAAATGTAGGCCGTGAAGGACATGTTCTTCTGGATAATGTCCACTTGTCACTTCCCAGTCAAATCATAAATTAGTTTAATTTTAAAGTAAATTTTTTCACTTCTTTTTTACTACTACTCTGATTCATTGACTCCTTTTGTGCATTCTCCCTCTTTTGCAGCTCACCGACGCACCTGCACATGTCCAGGCTGCCCTCTTTCCTCAACTCCCTCTAGTTCCTCATTTCAGACCCTGAAACCCAAAGCCAGCTCGGCCTCACAGATCCAACCACCTTCATCCACACAGTCCACCCCACTGCAGCAGGCCAAAGAGCCCAGCACTGCCCCGGTCAGCTTGGGCTTGTGTCTAGGTTTGGGTCTCTCTCTGGATGAAGAAAACACCGGTTCAAGCAGCACATCTCGTCCCCCCCAGCAAGAGGACAAAGGCACCAGCACTCATAGCCCAATCCCCCAGTCAAATCCAGAGTCCCCAGGTGTTTCACCTGCTCAAGCATTTCCATGTGTATGCTGCCATCGTGGGTTTCAAACTTGTAGCCAACTTTTATCTCAACAAAAGGACCCAGAGTCACAAATTGCCCACCACTACTACCATCACCACCATCATCACTGTCCGCTCAGCAGCTGCACGTCATGTACACACCCTTCATTCCCTTGCCTGTCCTGCCAGCGCACCTTCCCCACATGTGCCCAACTCCTGCGCCATGAGCAGGGTCATGCGCAGCAGGATGGCCTGCAGCAGCTCTCATGCATGCACTGCAATGCCTCCTTTCCACGTCCGTCACAGCTGCTGCAACATCAGCGCACTCAGCACGCAACTAAAGCGGGTGGCTTTCTGTGTGCTGAATGCGGCCGTGCGTTCAATTCACACAGCAATCTGCGCATCCACCTCAACGTGCACACTGGTGCCCGGCCATACATCTGTACCAACTGCGGAAAGAGCTTCAGCCAATCTGGCGCCCTTAAGATTCATCGCAGAATTCACACCGGAGAGAGGCCGTACACCTGCTCATACTGCGGGAGGGGATTCCCTCACCTGGCTGGGGTGAGAGCTCATCAGCGCATTCACACTGGTGAGAAACCGTACATCTGCGGTCAATGTGGAAAGTGCTTCACTCAATCTGGAGCTCTGAAGATCCACACTCGCATACACACCGGGGAGAGACCTTTCGTGTGTGGTCTCTGTGGGAAGAGCTTTTCCAACCGCTCCGGCATCCGCTTTCATCATCGCACGGTTCATGGCATCGTAATGGAGCCCAACTCTGTGGGCAGGCCTAGCCTGGCTGCTTCTGCTTCATCCCAAGTTTCAGACATCCAAAGAGTTCAAGTCTCCGCTGTCAACCAGATTCATTTTCGGCAAATAGAAGAAAGGAATTTGCCAAGTAAAGAGTTGGTTCAGCCCAGTAAAGAGCAGTTAAGTGGGAATGCGGACAAATTGGCCCTTCCGTATGCCTGTGAGGATTGTGGTCAGCGCTTTCCAGATGCTCCTTCTAGAAACAGACACCAGACGCTGCAACACTACTCTCTGGAGGAGCAAGAGAAAGAAGACACTGGCTCTAGTAAAACTAACGATTAAACAAAACAGCTGACATTTTTTGTTTATTCAAAATAGAGGAATTAACGAAGAAGTAATGTATTATTTTGTTATCTTTTAAGTCAGATTTTGAGCTTATGCGAAGCTGAACCAAGTCCAACAAGGGATTTCTATCCCTTCTCCACTTTTTATCACAAAAGGAATTATCTTTCCATGTTCACTTCACTGTACTTCCAATCTTAACAGTCATTACCGATCACCATTTATTTATAGTAGAGATTTAAGCTAAGCTTAAAAACTACAATCTCTGGACTTATAGTGTCCCTGACACTGAAATTTAACGACTCCTAAAAGATGAATCCTTGTCTGGCCATCTGAAATATCGGTACGAAGATATAGCTTGGGACCATGAATTTCCTGTGGGATCACAGAAGTATATCGATGCCATTTGCCGTTATCTTTTGGAGTCTAATAGACTGCCTGAACCCATAAACTGTGACGTATGACGTCAGACTTGATAAACAAGTTTTTTGTTTTGGTCATATCATATTCACTTGGCTGTGATTTGTGCCTCTAAAATCAAATTGTGATGGCCTGTAATTGTGGAACTGCACCTTAAACTTTAGTAGCTTTGCTAATCAGTATAAATGTATTTGATCTTATGTTACAAAACTAGCTCTAATTTTTCCACATCAGACAGAAAGGTGACCAGAAAGGTCACTGCAAAGCATTTAAATCACTGAAACCGTTCCACCAGCATGATTAAATGTGCAGAGGAATCCATATGGGAATTGGATTGTAACGGAATGTTTTAAATGCTACACATGCTAATTTACAACCTTTTGGTCTGATAGTGGAAAGTGCTTTGTTTTTAATTTTAGCACATCATATTTATGTAAATGGAAGTTTTTAGCTTTTAGCTTTAAATATTTATTTTAATGTTCAAATGAACCTCTAAGGTTGCTTTGATGATGAAAACATGAGGGAGAAGTTAGGCAGAAAACAGTTCTCTATTGTGCATTGGCTGAAATAATGTAATAGTGCCTTTCTTAATGGGAATCTTGCAAAGCACATGCAATCAAAGGCAAATATTTCTATTCTGGTCTTAAATTCAACAATTCGGTATGGGCATCAGCTGCTAGAATTGTTGAGTAAATGTGGTTTTAAATTAAATTTATGTTCGTACCATATTTAAAGGCATATTGACATCATTAAGACATGTACCTGCCAGGTGTATATATGCCCTCTGCAGTGTCTGAAAATACTTAAGACTCCATGAAGTGAGCGGGCTGCCATTTTCACAACTGGCCAAAGGTTTGTAGTTAAAGATATCTGTAAGTACCTCTGTATTATTACTCATAATTAAAATTTGGTAAACTGTTGAGGTGAAAATAGTGTTTATTATTTTGTGTGTCTAATTTGTTTCATAGCATAATGTTTTTTTGTATGTGAATGCTCTTTATTTGATATTGATTGTGGTTGGCCAATTACAAAAGGAAGTGATTGCAGCTTCAAAACCCAGAACACCAGATTATTTTTATTTTAGTCCCAATTAAAATATATTTTGTTCCCTCTTTCAACAAAAATAAACGGTTATGTATCTTTATTTGTGTCCGCAGTGACATCGGTCTGGTTTAGGCTTACTTGTACATTTTGATTTTTAGGCCAGAATCTTTACACTAGGGTTAAATATTTTCAAACGAAACATAAAGCTTTGTCTACGATATGCACACAACATACATAAACAAAATAAAGTGTCCTGTTGAAGCTATCTTTGCTGAGTCACACAGTCACCTGTTATTTTCAGGAACTATAAGGTCAATGAACTCTAGGGGATTTCCGTTGTATTCTACCTACATTTTTTTATTATTATTGAACTGCCTACTATCATTGTGAAAGTTATTATCATTCTTAACCACAAAAGCAGACCCAGGTCACTGTTTCTTGTCTCTCCAGTTCAGCAGCACTGACCTGACCAGCAGCAAAACCATAATCGCTCCATATCTTTTTCCATCTTGAGTTGCAACAACAAACATGCCCACCATGTGCACGTGCGGTCAAGAGATGGATAGACCTTAAAAACATTCGAAGCAAGTTATTTTTGCCTAATGTCACGGTTTTCATTGTTCATTGGAAATCCCACACCCACCCAGGCCATCCTCTGATAAATGAAGGCAGACAAAGAGTATGTCAATCATTCCCTATTGTAATTATTCTGTAATTGCAAAAATGGTGCCTGCCATTATTTATTTTCTAGTGTTACAAGCAGAACTGTCTCAATTTTTATGCAAAAAAAACCCCACCTTTACATTTAGCAGAAGCATTTAATAAAAGCAACTTGTGATTAGATTGTTCAACATCTAAATAGATGTTTACATGTATGTATTTATTCATTTACAAAGGCCTATTTATTGAACCTATATTGACTTTGATCCAAAATTGTACAACAATCTCAACAATTTCATATCAGATTAACGAAAGTATCAGCACCAATTTAACTTCCAATGAACCATTTCATTCCCCAAAATGCTCTTTATAGTGGGAGAAGGTTTTTAGATGATTAAAGTCTATGAAAAACATTATAAGGTAGTAGGCCTAGTTTAAGAACTTAACTATATCTTTGGGTAAAGGTTCTTCTATGCATCACTGTAAAACCCTTTTTGGTTCTTTCTGGGACGACTATTTTCAAGAGTTTAGGTAAGAGATTCAATTAAACTATTAATTTACGGTTCAAATTTATTTGGTCTCAGCAATATAGGCCCAGTTATCATAATACTTGGGTTTAAATAATCCCTCAAACAAAATGAGAATAATCGCATCAGCACATTTACGTAGGCTGTTGTCAGAAATGTACTGTAGGCTAGGCCTATTCGTATACGAATTAGCAGTTGAATACGAATTAACCACTAAAAAATAACGAGAATTGCCTGGATCACAAAAAAAAAAAAAAAAACTAAAGGACGAAGTAGGATCTGCTTTGTTAGTTGTTTCAGGAGGAAAATATTGCACTGCCCTGTTGGACCTGAGATTCGTGGTTGGCTAATTATAGCCTTATAACTTTAACGAATATCAGCAAATATAGACCTGAAGGGAGATTCAGAATTGTATCACTTAAAAAAACAACAACTAACTTCTACGGAGTTTAATCAGGGCGCCAAGAAAACAGCAACACTCAAGAACGGTTCCCTCGCACCCTCTGAACTGAGACTGTGCTAGAAACAGGTGATGCATCACCTTCATTTGCATAAGGAGCCTTTTGTAATAATGACATATTTCGCTGTCTTGTAGAAGCACTGTAAATTTTAACGTGATACAAAACAAATGCATTTGCTACATTATAACAACTTTGTTAGAAAGCAAAAAAGAAGAAAGAGTAGCTTTGGAGGATAAACAAATCTTATAACGTTCTCAGTGGACAGAAGCTCCGCCTTTTCCTCTGCTCACATATATTGTGTTTACAAACTTTCATTTTGTCAGAGGTCGTTTTCAAACACAGACGTCAAGATCCTTCAAAATGAGAGGCTTTATTCTCCTCGCAGTCCTGGCGATCACCTTTCTACAAAGATCCACCGGTAAATAACATTTTGTTTATGTCTTACCATTATTCACAAAACCATTATTTAATGTCTTCCACCTTTGTAAGAGTCCGGCAAGAGTGGACTTTTTACAGTTTTAAAAAGTTTGTGTTGGTATTCTGTTGTTGGCTTCAGCTTAAATTAATAAAACTCACATACTCCTACACCCCAAAAATCTAAACGTTCAGAATTGCACACCTCTTAACGGAATTATTATTAATTAAATGTATTCTTCATGGGTAATCCAGGGATATTTTTGCAGTTAATCGAAAGTGAACATCTCTATTTTACAGAGTTATAACAGGCTTACAAGCAACATTTAAGCCCCAAAATATGATTTGCAGTGTATTGTATGTATATATAAAATATTCAGACATTACAGGTGATCACAGGTAGGCTAGGTAAAAAAGAAAAATACCAGGAATTTGCCACTTTATCTACAACACCATCCTGACCCAACCAGTTTGACAGCATTTGAGGACAGGTGTATTTGTTTGAAAGCACATTCATTACTGTTTAATAATAGTTGTTCCATTAACATAACACGTAAGATGATGGGGAATAAAAGCGTAGCTACATTTCTGTAGGATATTTACAGTATTTGCTTAGGACTAGGAGGCACATCTGATAGCATGCAAATTGCCTTCTGTGTTTCTGTTTGTTCTTTTTATATACATGCAAATAAAGCAGCAGACCAGAAAGCTAAGACAGAATAAACAATAATGTGACAACTTTTCACTCTACTGTGCATGTTAAAAAAAAGAAAAGAAAAATTAGACAGATATGCTGTACAGTAGAGACCAAAATCATATTGAGTCTAGGAAACGTAATGTATTGTCAGCTCGGAAATCTAACGTTCCGTATTACTTTTCAAAACTTGTTTAAATTATGGGATTTGTGTGTTTTTGTAGTCTATTTTTATAGCCTGTGTCAACTCTGCAAATGCATGGGAAGAAAACAATCTTAATGAGAAATCTGTTGGGAAATGGCTGCTAAGCAAATACAAAGGAGAATCAGTGAAATATTAATACAAACTAGATGTAGCTATGCTGGGCAAAGGTGGCCTAAACCCTTTATCACACACTCTAAAGAAATTGTGCATACATTTTTCATGGTTAACATTTTTTCCTTATAACACTCTGAGTAACTTTTGCAGGTTTTTGTATTAAAATATCTGTTAAAAGGGTGGTGACTGGTAATTAAGCAATTAATTATTTCGTGATAGTTACCGCACCTAACGACGACACTGTTCAGATGTTGTACTTCAAAACATTTGTTCTCAAACCACTGTTGTGTGTGGTACAAGGTTCTTACACATCTCATTCTGTTCTGTTTTGATTTTATATTTGCCAGTTGTAGGCTGTGAAGTAACCAAAATCATTTACAGTAGTGATATGGAACTGAAATGTGCTTATTAGGGCTGCACAATATATCATTTCGGCATTGATATCGCAATGTGCACATACGTAATAGTCACATCGCAAAGATATGCAATGTCCAGTCTGAATTAAAGTTGACCAGGAGCTACAGAATTGTAGTTATTCGCTGTATTTATATGTAATGTACATGATTTATGCAAAAAAACAACAACAACAACAGTTCTTACTTTGAATTTTTCTCTTGTTTCTAGTTCAAATATCTACATTTCAAAGCAAAAACAAGATTATTTCACTTATCCCACTGGCAGAAAACTTCTTTAAAACTTTTAATTTTCACCTATTTCTTCTGACGGTGAAAACTGAATAATATTTTTTACTTCGTCTAAGTTTTTTTTGTTTGATATTTGGACTAGAAACAAGACTAAACAACGTAAGAATATAATTTTTTGCATTGTGATAATTAAATTTTTTTACCTGAAAAATGTTAGACACCCAGAAAGCCGTCAAATACAGCTATTTAAACTATCTTCTGAACTTGTATTCATTTTCCAATATTTATTGCAGAAAAATAAAATATCCCAATATCAGATTTTTCCAGTATCATGCAGTCCTAGAGCTAATGATCTGCCTGGAAGTACTTTTAACTGTCCGTTTATCTGAAAATAACTGAACATGTCAAATCAGAATAAAACATTCAGTAGTCTTGTAGTATAATATGAAATATGAAATATATAATATAAACAGAAACAAAAGCAGCTTAACCAAATGCAACAGTGACAATTCATAAACCCTTTACATTGTGTGCAGTATCCAATGTTTCATTTGTTATGATGCAAAGAAACATGTTTATGAGCAATGCACATGAGAATGGCTGCTACTCAAAATTGGGAGAACCAATGAAATATTAATTACTGATTATGTTGTACTCACTGTATATTTTATTTCCTGAGAGGATTTAGTTTTTTCTGTGCATTTGTTTACAGAGTAAAATCAAACTCACATTCTGTAATAAACTGCAGGTTTATTTTAGTCAATTAAATACCTTTAACTGAGTTTATCTATAATATTTAAACTTTGATTTAAACTTATAGGATCATTAAAAAGAAATGAAGAATACAGACATCTCAGTTTTTATTAAATTGTATAATTTTTTATTTTTTTATATGTGCTCAATGCACACAAAAAAAAAACAAACAAAAAAAAACATAAGGAACAAAAGGAACAAAAGGAACAAAAACAGAGTCATCTATTTTTGTAAAAGAATTCTTCAGACAATGAGCAAAAGTTGCTTACGGTATCAACACACATACTGGTCACTATTTCACCTTATGAAAAATGAGACAAAAATCTTAAATTACGGTTTATGTCATCTCATATCCTAATTAGGGAACCCCGATCAGGTTTTTTGCCCTCAAGTCCGAGTCATTTTATTTTGAGTATCTATACCGAAACCCGATCTGATACATCTATGATACGTAAAAAAGAATAAAAGATAGCGAAGAAACTGATCTAGGATGTTCCTTATTTTTTTTTTTTTAATTCACCTTATTTTAACATTCAACAACTCTATTAACAAACAGAGCACTTCAGTGAGCTAGTTTGAACTATCAAGTAATAAATAACATAAATTCTTCACTTTTGAACATTAGTGCAACAGTAAATATTAAAAAATTCTAATATAAAAAACAAATAGCACCTTAACTTAAAATACCCGGCAGGGTATCCCAAGTTTACATGCAAAAGATATAGCCGTTTTTACAGTAATTTGCTGTAATCATTCTACCTGCCGTAATTTCACAATAAAATTATGAATACAACATATTACTGTGAATTTTACAATTAAATACTGTGAAGCAATACTAATGTAATTTACTGTGAAAAATTACTGTAACTTGTTGTAAAAACCTGGAATTTTTTTTTACAGTGCAATGTTGTCGTCTTCAAGTTTATAATACCCCCAGACCACAAACTCGCGTTTTCCGCTTCAAGCTGTGTCCGTGTTCTACTTTGCCAGCATTTAACCAATAGCATCTCTGAAACAAAGTGATGTCATGCCGCATGCCTTGCTGTTTCTGTGTGAAGTCAAAAAAGAGGTCTAACTCTGTGCCACCGCAAAACTATAGATGTGCTAAAAATAGAGCCCTGATCGGGAGGTAACGACGATTCTGATCGAGTCTGGAACCGCATGATCGAGCCCGATTTCTGATCACGTGATCGGATCTGGACATCCCTAATCCTAACAATGACATATATATCTCAATGTAGTACCACTTCTGTAAATTCAATCAGTTAATAGTTGTATTGACCTCATGTAAAGGACTATTTTAAGGTATATACTGTACTCAGAAATGTACTCATTCATATGTGATCATATTTCTCTTTTTATTTAGAACCAGAAGGCAAATATTTGATTGAAAATGTTAAAATATAAATAAAATATTAATTAACTACGAAAAACTTTTTAAAAACCAATTATAATAGGTGCAACATAAAAAGTAAAAAATATTACTAAAAAAATTAAGATTGCAACTCTGTCACAGTGCTGTTTTTTGATGTTTTTGTGTGCAAACTCACAATGGTGTGTAATATTTCACACGCATAAATTATGAAAATTATTATCATACACAGGGTATTTTGTATCACCACTAAATAAAGGATAGAGCATAATATGAAATAAAAGACTTCCTATTCTGTCTATACAATATATGTCATATAGCCTATGAAATATTCCACCTTAATAATAGAAGCTGTTACTTTATCCCTTTAACTGCCTCACTAAGAAAAACATTTTTTGGATTGCTTTTCTTAACTCCTAATGTCTCTAGTTAACACAGTCATGCATTTTTCTTCAACACATCCCATAATTTCTAAAATATCAGCCTCTACCAAATGGTTGATATGTTGGTTTATGGTAAAAGTACCAGAATTAATACATATAAAAAATCTAAAAAATATGAATTGTTAGACCAATTTATTTAAAAAATATATTCAAAATAAAACTTCTTTGAATACTAAATCATCTTTATCTTTTAAAGTATGCCATAAAATATTTGAAATTTTTATTTAACATGTTTTCTTGGTTTTTTATTTTACAATAAAGTCTAAATCAAATGTAGCAGTGCAACAGGATTATGTTTGTTTGATTTTTGTTTGGAAACCAACAATACTGTGTAGTAAACCATTATTTAAAGCAGTCATTATTTAAAACAGTCAAAATATGGTCAACCATTTGGTAGAGTAGGCAGTTAAAAGGTTATTCAATTGCATTAGTAATATTTTGTTTTGTTATTTTCTAGCTTTGTTGGAGGTTAAAGGCCCATCGGAGCCGATTCTGGAAGGCCAGGATGTGACATTGGAGTGTGTGGATACAGAATCAGAGCTGAACATGAGCATGGTGCACTTTGAGAGGTTCTCCAAGGTAAGGTCACCAACACAATAGCAAGGAAATATCAGTCACGCAACACGCTTTGACGTGCGTCTGTCTGTAAATGTCAAGAAAACAGCAGATTGAAACCAAAGTGACACATTGTTTTCATGGGAAATGAGAACGATTTGGATTGTCTGCCCACGTCCTCCGCAGCCGTTCTGATCGCTGTATAAACAGAAAGTGAGAGATCTAAAATTACAAACGTACCTGTCAGGGACGCTTACTCTCAAACATCAACAGCGCTGCTCTCATGATGGCGTAAACAAGGTTTCAGGGCGAGCGAGCATAAAGAACAATAACTTTATTTTGCATTTATTTGTCTGGAGATCAAGACGGCGAGTGGTATTTAAGCAGCAGGAGGCGGTGTGTGTTTTAGTGCGCTTCTGAGGGCTGTTATTCTGGGTTTAATTAGTATCTGGCAGTGAGGGGCCTTTGGAGGATTCACAACATCTGCTGCTTCTGTCAGTGTACAGTCTGTTTGTCACCTTTTTCCAGCTATCTGACGCATTCAAGCTAAAAAAGAAGGCTTTCCGTATCAGCAGTCATGAAGACAGATGTTTTGTTTTGCAAACTCTCGTTAACCTGTGTTAGTCAGACCCCAAGTGCCGCTGCCCCGAAGAGTCTGCTCTCCTCCGAGTGTAACATATTTAATCAAATTTGTCTACTGTTCTTTTCATCGGCAAGATGGTTTTAAGCCTCTGAAATATCACTATGATCAACATTTCTAATGAAAAATCTGCTGTACACTGTTTGCCACATTCCTCCTCTTGTCGGATCGATAGTTTGTACTTGTTTTTAGCAAGTAAAAAGCCTCTTAGTGTAATTGATTTTTCCTTTAGGTTGTGGTACATGTGTTTTCTGCTTATAATTATTATTTTTTACTGATTTTTATGAAGTAACTTTCATATTGTTAGTAATTTTGAAATGAAGCAGCTTTGGTACTGTTGAAAAAATGAGAACCCAAACTAGGAGACTCGACAATTTCTGACGGTATGATAGCCTTGGATAAAATTATCACGGTTTACAGTATCACAGTATTTTGATTACTTCTCTAAAATAAGTTCTTTTTAAATGTCTGGCATAAAAAAACAAAAAAAAATTTCTAACATGAACATTATATTTTAATTTAGAAAACATTTTTAATATTTTAGAAAGGTAAAGATGTCAGGCTACAGTAAATAATTCAAATACATTATTGACTTCTGCTGTTTTCATTAGTTTCAATAACACAGAGTTGTTTACTAAACATAAAAAAAAAACTTACATATACCTGAGGAACAGTATAACAGTAAATTTTAGCAGTTTTAAAACCTTGACTTTTCCATACTATGGCAAACCTTGAAACCGGTTATCGTCCCATGCCTACTCGACAAGCAGAATTTTTTATTGAGTGTTGGTTGTTCTGCAGTCAAATAGCATCTTCAAGAAGTCCACTAGTCTGCAAGAGCTTACATTAGTCTCCTACAGTCTAAAATGAGTCTGGTTTGAGACAGAGTTGTCCTGTCTATATTATGTTTTTAGGAGGGGGCAGTGGCTAAATGTGGAGATGGCTAACAAAGCATGCAAATAAGTAGATAGGTGAAAGAACCTGCACAGCCACTGGTATATACTGATATATATGTTTATATATATATCACTGTTAATTTTTAACTAGATTATATAAATGTGTATTTCCATAGTACATTGTCTGTACATTGTCTGATATATTTCTTAAAATAATATTTTTGTCACCAAACTTATTTAAAAAATTGAAAGATAATACAATTACATTCATGCAAAATATTGCAAAAAAAGAAAAAACATAACCTAAAAACTTTTAACTAAATTTTTAATTTTTGTTTGCTTCTTTTGATTTTTTCTCCTTTTAAAATTTGTATTCAATATTTTTCTATAATATATAAATTTGGGTGTACTAGTTTTTGGACCATTATTATAAGTTAATTTGTTAGATAAGCTCCAGATTTGCCTTCAGTACTGACTAATCTAATGTACATGCACAAATATATTTTATAGCTTCCTATTAAAAATATGAATTTAAAAGAGATTTGTGAGAGGTGTACTTATATATGCTGAAGGATCAAGACCTTTTTTGCATACAATGTGGAAAAAATGTAAATAAACAAAGAAAAAAAGAGGTGTCAACATGACCCACACGTTGCTAAAAAGAAGGTCACACAGTGGCGCAGTGGGTAGCACAATCACCTTACAGCCAGATGGTTAAGGGTTTGAGCCTCGGCTGGGTCAGTTGGTATTTTTGTGTGGAGTTTGCATGTTGCGGTTTACCCCACAAGTCCAAAGACATCTGTTGGAAGGGTATCGGCTGTGTAAAACTTACTGTATGCTGGATAAGTTGGTGGTTAATTCCGTTGTGGCAACCGCAAATTAATAAAGGGACTAAGCCAAAAAGAAAATGAATGAATAAATGAATTAAAACGTTATAGGAATTAGCAGCCAGAATAAAACAACTAAATTCACCTAAACAAACTAAATTCAACTAAACAAACAAACAAATACAATATTCACAATACACAACACTGTAAAAAATCAATTAGCTTAATTTGCTTAAAGTGAGTAAAACCATTACCTTAAAATTGTTAAGTAAATGAACGATGTGCATAATTGTACAAATTAAGTTAACATAATAGTTGCAGTTATTCCAAATGACAAGTTACAACGGGTTTACTCACATTTTCAAGTGGTCGACTTATCTCTCAAGACAACAGGTTTAATCACTTCTAAAAAACGAATTGTTTTTTACAATGTAATAACAGATATACATATTTTATTTGTTTTATATATTATATTTTATAAAAACAACAACAACAAAAAAAAAAAACCTAAAAACTTGTCAACATGACTCATAAGTAGGCCTACATGGAAATGGAATCTGTGTGCACAGAAATCTGCTGATTTTTAGCCCATCATTGAGTCTATTTATTTGCTTATGTAAATTTATATTTTTTCAGGTTGTAAATACTCATATGATTTATTTACAATACAGTTTGCAAAGTATTTTTTCTGTCTTTCAGTAGATATATTATATGAGAAACTTGCTTTGTTTACCAAATAAGTGGATCTTTTAGTTTTAGTTTCAATACTCCCAAGACCATTCCAAATAAATCTGGAGATTTTTACAAACTTGATTTTAAAAAGTAGACTCTGTCTAGCCCTGCTCATAAGTTCTTAAAATATTATTTATGTAGATTTCTTTTTTCTGAAAGTAAAATATTTAAGACTTTACTTTGCCGTAAAATATTTGACATATATTTCAAAGAATCTACAGTTAAAAAAAGGAGACTAAAAAAAGCAATAAAAACTAAATGAAACAAACAAAAAAATAATAATACATAATTCTGAATTAAAAGAATTCTCTTCCCCAACAGTACATGAAGAAGTGGTATCGGCTGGAAACAGACCAGCAGTTTTTCTACCGCCGCTGTTTTCTGTATGACGTGGATGTGAGACGGGAGGAAGGCAAACTTTTCGTCTTCATCGCCAGCATGCAGTCCTGGTCCGAGGGTCCATACCGCTGCATCACCGAGGACAACTCCACAGCAAAAAACACCTCGGATCCGCTCACCGTCCCCATCCACTGTGAGTATGAGTGCAAATGAGTTGTCATGCAAATCCCGTTCACTGCTCCAACCATAAATTGATCTGTACGTGTCAAGATTGTCCAGGTGCTTTAATCTTTCCATCGTTGCCCATGAAGCAAGTTGCATCTGACATTTCATCTGGAGGAGGTTTTATATTTGGAATTTAAAGATTAGATCACAAATAAAACTCTTTATCACCCACGATGACAAAATCGATGTTGATATTGATTGGAGGCTTTGCAATGGGCCAGGATAAGCTGACAGTGGTGATGAATTGGAAAAAGCTGAATGGGGAAAATAACTGATATACAGAGATGTTCAATATGTATAGCTGAAATGCAGACGTGATGGACTTAATGAACTATAGTCAAGCTGGGCTTCAAGTACTATAATCATTGGCAATAAATCATGACAGTCACCAACAAGTTATGTAACAGTTTCAAAGTTTAGAGTAGGTCAGATTGTTAAATGATTTTGAAAGTTTCTTTTGCTCACCAAGGCTGTATTAATTTGCTTAAAATAAAACAGAATTGTCAAATATTATATTTTAACAAATTTTATTTTTCTATTTTCTACATTTTACAGTGCAATTTTCAGCATTTTACTACAGTCTTCAAAACTCCATTATCGATTAGAAATCATTCTAATATGCTGATTTAAGGCTCAGTTTATTAGTTACTATTATGATCATACAAGTTGCTGCCTAATGTTTTTTCATATTTATTTATTTTTTAAATATGGCCATTTAGAGCATTGTGCTATGTTTTATGCAATTGAGCATTTTATAAAACAACACCAGAAAGGAGGCAGGTTTTCATACATGTTTACATCTGTTAGATCACACTTCACACCAGATGAATAAGATCTAGCCCTGGATGCCAGATCCTTTCAAAAATGTCTGTTTCTCTGGATATTGTTATGTTTAGGATGTTTAAGTGGGATGCTGTAACATTTAGGTGAGACAGGTGTAATGTGTGTGACAGATCAAGGATGAAGCAGGGATCAATTCTTTGTTTAAGCTTTTTTTACTCAACAGTTGAAACAATATGTAACAATAATAAATGGAAAAAAGATTTATAATTATTATCTTTAAACAGAAACAATGAGTGTAAGCCAAATTAAAGTAATTAACCAAACAAAACAATCCTAAAGTCTGAACTAGGTGACAAAAAATAATAATACAAATAAAACCGAGATTTTCGGTGTACACGACACCCGGACTAAACTAATTAAACTACAAAACTGAAAATAACAAACAAAACATCCATCTAAACTAAAACAAACCACATAAGCTCAGTTTAGAATGACACAACAACCATAACTTTAAGTTACTTAAAGCCAACGAAGTTCAACAAGCAAACCACAGTAAACTGAAATAATAAATCACTAAACAGCCGAAGCATAGCACAAACAAATTGCGTGGAGCACAAATGGTACGCTGAGGCAGAGCGCACAACACACATGGGTCTGTCGGGGCTTTAAATCCTTGCGGCTCGTCCGGGGATTGGTGGAATCGACACAACTTCATAATGATGATGGACAGATGGTAAACCAATAAGAAACCTAAGGGTTAAGCGAAGAGGAGGGTGAAAAAAAAAATTACACAAAGAAAGAAATTTAGCAACAAACATAACAATATCCAGACAACAAGCCAGCGGAGCCGCCCAATACCCAAACCTTTCAACCACTTTTCAGCTGAATTAACAGTCTCATATCAATATAGGGGTTACTGAGAAAGCTAGAGAGGAGCAAAAGCAGGAGATGAAGTAATGATGATAAAGAAGGAAACGAGTTTATTGAATAATCTTAGTTGCGTATGATTCAATGCTCAGACACCAACAAGTGTTATTATACACTGTACAAAATGCCAGTTTCCACACAATCTCTTCATGTCATCCCTATGGAAATTAAGTTAAATTAATGGCTTTTACAATTTTAGGTTGATTGAACATAAAAAACCTCAAGAATTGTATTGTTTCAGCTTATTTTAAATAAGTCATTTAAACAAGCAGCAGAACTTTTTTTGAGTGTACCACAAGCAACAGCAATGGAAAATTACTGCTTCACAATATTTTTCAGAGACAATACAAACCTTGAAATTCTCTTATCTCTTACTCTTGAAAAAAAGTGTTGCTTTGATTCTAATTTCATAAGATTATAACAATATGGAAAAATAAAATAATAATGCAGTAATAATTATGGGAAAATAGTAATAATAAAATATAAATTCATAATCAAATGATAATTAAATATAATCAAATCATTAACTAATAATCTATGATCATACACAAATAAATGTACAGGAACTGTCACCTGGGCAGTACCTTTTCAGAAGGTACTTTTTAGGTACATTTGGGCAATAATACTGTTTGCACCGTTGAGGTAGTGGTAGTGGACTCATCGGGTACACATTTGTTCCTTTTGAAAAGGTACTGCCCCAGTGACAGCTCCTGTACCTTTATTTCTGAGAGTGTATGATTTAAATAAAATAATTAAATGAAGACTAAATTAATATAAACAAATGAAAATAAAACAACACACATGAATGGTTGTTTTCTTGAAACTACACAGACATAGGTTTGCTACAACAATACCCAGGTCCTTTGTTAGATTCTAGTTAGATTCGAATGCAACACAAAATTGTAGTTATTTAAATTATTTCTGAAGAGCTGTTCAACACAGGAAATATATTTTTAACAGATTTTCCAACATAATAGTTTTAATGTTATGATGACATTATTTCACTTGTTATTTTGCAAGATATTAGTATTCAGCCTAAAGTTCAATTTAAAGTTTTAACTAAATCATTATGTTTACTTGGCAAGTGGGGTAATTACATATAATGATTTTATTCCAGCCAAACTAAAATAAGTGATTTTATTCAAAAGAAAGAAATATTATAGGAAATACTGTTAAAAAAAATCCCTTTCTCTGTTAAATAGGTATTGGGGAAATATTTTAAATATTAACTTTATATATATTTATATATTTTATAAATAAATATATAATTAAATATATTTATATATTTAGTTGAAACCAGAAGTTTACATTCACTGTAAAAAAAGGCACATAACCATTTAAAAAATCAGATGTTTAGTCTAATGTGACTAAACTTTTTCTCTTTTAGGTAATTTAGGATTATCAAATTTGTTTCTGTTATGCTTAATAGCAGAATAATGAGAGAGAGATTTTTTGAAAAATTGTTTCTTGAAACTCTTCTTGAAAGTCAAGTTTACATACAATAAAATTAATATTTCTCTGAAAAAGCTCAGATGATGGTGTCAAGGTTTTGGAAGTTTCTGATTGGCTAATTGACAACATTTGAGTCAATTGGACTGTAGAATAGAAGGAAAACCTCAAACAAACTGCTTCCTTGTGTGACAACATGGGAAAATCAACGAGCCAGAAACAACAACAACATTACACTGGGAAAAAGAATAATTTTTGGAGACATGTCCTGTGTTCTGATGGAACTAAGATTGAACTGTCTGGGCATAATGGCTAGTGTTAAATTTGGAGGACAAAGGGGAAAGCTTACAAGCCTACGAACACCATCCCAATTGTGAAGTATGGGGGCGGCAGCATCATGTTGTGGGGCTGTTTTGCTGCAGGAGGGACTGGTCCACTTCACAGCATAGATGGCATCATGAAGAAAGAACATTATGTAGAAATACTGAAGCAACATCTCGAGACATCAGCCAGAAATTAAAACTTGGCCACAAATTGGTCTTCCAAACAGACCATGACCCCAAGCATACTGCCAAATTAGTTAAAATATGCTTTTAATTGTGTGGAGTGGCCATCACAAAGCCCTGATCTAAATCCTATTGAAACTTTGTGGGCAGAGTTAAAAAAGCTTGTGCGAGCAAGACAGCCTTCAAATCTGACTCAGTTACAGCAATTCTGTCAGGAGGAATGGGCCACAATTCCTTCAAACTATTGTGAGAAGCTTGTGGAAGGATACCCAAAACATTTGACCAAAGTTATACAGTTTAATGCATAGCTTAAAAAAACAAACAAATAAAATGTATGTAAACTTTCGACTGTCTAGAAATTAATAAAAATTCTCAAAAAAAAGTTCTCTCATTATTCTGGTATTTAGCAAATGTAAATCATCTAGGTAATCCTAACAAAACTAAAATAGTAAACACTTAGTATGATTTACCAATAGACATTTAAAAAAAAAAATTGTTATGTTCCTTTTTTTAGAATGTATGTAAACTTCATGTATATATATATATATATATATATATATATATATATATATATATATATATATATATATATATATATATATATATATATATATATATATATATATATATATATATATATATACCATGTGATGTCATTGGCCCGTGAAGATTTCTTGCTTGTTATCAAACTATTTCGTAACTGTAACAAGAGGCAATTCAATCATAACTTTATGTCAAAACAGCTATCATAACATTATTTATCAATATGTGTCTCTTTTTGGATTCTCTGAAGCTATAGAAATTAATTATGTAAAACAGGAAATGCATAGGGACCATTGTTTTTGTTTACATCCCTCGAAATGGTCTATATAGCTTTATATGTGTGTCTGTATTGAGAAAACCTGAATTTCCATGTCCTACTTCCTTGTGTTTATGCTATGCAAATATATCCAGGCAGGGAAGCTGTTTTGACTAATCCTTTTATCCTCGTATGTTCTCTGGCAGATATGCGGGAGGTGGCAGTGCACAGGGCCGGTTTAGGATACTTAACACGCTATTTCAACTCAGTGCAGGACCTCCGAGTGCGATTAGGAGACGATGTGGAGCTGGAATGCTCTACTTCAGCCTCCGAGGAACCTGAGTACTTCTGGGCCAAAAAGGTGACAGATTTAATATGTAATACTCATGCTTTCCTTTTTTTTGCCTTCTTATTTTTTATTCCCTCACAGCCATTTACTTGGTTTCTGTTTGCTGTATTGGGATTGCAGGTGCCTGTTTTTTATGCAACGGACATCTCAAAGATTTCTTAATGAACCACTGGAGTGAAAATAAGCTTATTCGCTCAGGTCTGGGGGAAAAAAAAGTTGTGAAAGTTATCAACTCATTAGTTAGAACAGGGAATGTGCAATGAACAGATCTACATTAAGCAGTCTCTTGAGGCGATGTCTCGTCTACACCACACTTATCAGTTCTGTTTCTCTATTTTTATGTTTATTTATGAGCTTTGTGCAACCACTTTCCAAGATTGCAGCCAAATGTGAGCATAAATTAGCTTTAGTGAGAAAATTATACTCACCAGTGGCTAGTTACTTCCTGGTGAGTGTGTTTTTTTTTAATGTAATGGTTTAGTAAAAGTAAATTTGCAAAAAATTATCATCGGGCCCTCAGTGATTAGCTATTCAAAGAAGTGTGTCGTGTGTCAAGACAGATGTTTGCTTAAGAAAACATCTGTCTTTACTCGTGCATCTTCTGTCTCTGTGGAACATTTGTTAACATTTGTTTATTTAGGATGTCAAGATGTTCTATATTTTCGCCATGTGGCAACATGAAATTTTTTACATATTGAGCCACCAAAATAAATATATATATATATATATATATATATATATATATATAAATCCTAATTTGTGACAGAGTAATGTTTGTTTAAGCAGCACGTTTATTCCATTTTACATATTGTAGATAAACTTAAAAAAAAAAACTGTTTATATAGATGCTTGAAAAAACTAAAAACAACTAAAAAAGGTGTCAGGCCAATGGTTGGCAATGTAGCTTAATAAAAATCACTATACAGATCTGCACACATACTCTAAGATCCTGTATAACAGCATTGTTGTTTTTGCTATGAAGTACAGACACATGCCCGTAGAACGGAACACATAATACAAATGCGTAAAATAAAGAAACATTTTTGTAGCAAATTTACATGGACATGGTGATGGTATCACTTCCAAAACTTGCACTTTGAAAACTGCTTTTTAATGTTTGCATTTCCAGACCCCCAAAATGTCAATGTTGTGTAAATTAACAGCCAAAGAGCATTAAAACACGTTTCACTTAAAACGCTGTTTTGGAAATGTGTATTAAAGCATTTTTTAACTAATAAAAAAATGTAAACCAAGAATCACAGTTAATAAAACATTTTATATTATGAATCCATACATTCCATCAATTATTATAGTAAATCTATCTATCTATCTATCTAGATAGATAGATAGATAGATAGATAGATAGATAGATAGATAGATAGATAGATAGATAGATAGATAGATAGATAGATAGATAGATAGATAGATAGATAGATAGATCGATAGATCGATTGATTGATTGCATCACGCAGTTGATGTAGATTTGTCAGCTGCACATGCATGATTCTAATCTTCCGTTCCAACATATCTGAAAGGTGCACTGTTGGATTGAGAACTGGTGACTGTGGAGGCCATTTGAGTACAGTGAACTAATTTTCAAGTTAAAAAAAGAACAGTCTGAGATGATTCGTGCTTTATGACATGGCCCGTTATCCTGCTGGAAGTAGCCATCAGAAGATGGCTACACTGGGGTCATAATGGGATGGACATGGTCAGCAACAATACTCAGATAGGCTGTGGCGTTGACACGATGCTCAACTGTTAGTAATGGGCCCAAAGTGTGCCAAGAAAATATCCCCCACACCATTACACCACCACCACCAGCCTAAACTGTTGATACAAGGCATTATGGATCCATGCTTTTATGTTGTTGATGCCAAATTCTGACCCTACCATCTGAGCGTCGCAGCTGAAATCTAGACTCATAACAACGGATTTTCCAATCTTCTATTGTCCAAATTTCATGAGCCTGTGCAAATTGTAGCTTCAGTTTCCTGTACTTAGCCAATTGGATGGTACTCGATGTGGTCTTCTGCTGCTCTAGCCTATTCGCCTCAAGGTTACACATGTTATGCGTTCAGAGATGCTCTTCTGCATACATTGCATGTAACAAGTTCTTATTTGAATAACTGTTGCCATTTTCCTCAGACCTCTGGGATCAACAAGGCATTTGCACTCGCAGAACTGCCGCTCACTAGATATCTTCTCTTTTTCAGACTATTCTCTGTAAACCCTAGAGATGGTTGCGCATGAAAATCCCAGTAGATCAGCAGATACTGAAATACTCATACCAGCATGTCTGGCACCAACAACCATGTCACATTCAAAGTCACTTAAATCACCTTGAGTTATCTTTGTTACTTGAAGTAACTTAGCCTACTTTGAAATAAATTCTAACTAATATTAAAAAACAAAGACATATAAAACATAAAAGTTGTCTTTTAAAATATAAAAGTTGCCTTTCTCAGTTGTTAATTAAAGTTAAATAAAAGAAATAATACAACTACATCCAAAATAAAAAAAAAAACACACAACCAAAGAACTAAATCTTTAATTAAAACCAAAAAAACAAATTTAAACTAATGATTAAAAACAACATAATCAATACTAAAACAACTCAAGGCTATTCCAGATTGCTATTGCAGTAAAACCGGTAAAACTCCATGCAGGTCAGACAGGTTCATTTAGGTTCTGTGCATAACTACTGAACATAAAAATCTTGACACTCACACATGCGCTGCGATTTCTACAACGTGTTCTTTTTCATAAACACAACATTAAAAAAATTCCGCCTAAATGTCATTGTGTGGGTGATGAATGACCACACAATGTGATGAGATGGAAGTGCAGAATGACTCAGTCATGTTATTTAGAATGTCAGACTATCCCCAGCCACATGTTATCAATTCTATGACAGTAAAAAAACCTTGCTTTAAACATATACAGTATAACAATGATAAACTGTTGCTTAGGCAGCTTGGCTTCAGATATACACAACTTGAAACTGTGGCTTGACTGAGTAAAAAGCAAATTCTTCAAACCAGAAAAACAAGTTTCATTTAAATGTTTGGAACACAGTCTGATGCAAAGCTTCTACCTGTTCATTGTGCTTCACGTCTTGGGTTCTGCAGAAGGAAACAGGAAGATGTTCAAAGCCAGCGGATTAGATTAAACAATGGTGCATTTGGCCAGAACTCGGCTTGACTGGGAATCCTCTTAATTCACTTCCATTGAAATTGAAATGGACTTTGTTGGCAGGCTGCAGAAAGACCTCCAGTGCCAAATACATTTGTATGGTTATGATGTTCTCTCTGGGTTTTTTTTCTTCACACTGGCAGTTGTTTCCTTCAATTGTATGGTGTTATGATTGATTTTTACTCTTTCATACTCCGTAACATTATTTTACAGGTCAAAAGTTTGGGATGAGTACGATTTTCAAATGGTTTTATTTATATGAAGCCTCTAGCTGCAATTATTGATCAAAAATACAATAAAAACTGAAAAACTATACAAATATTTTTAAGATTAAAAATAATCTTATTATTGAATGTAGTGTAAACTTTCTTGACTTATTTCTTTGATTTAAAGCAGAATTTTCAGAATCATTACTTCAGTTTTACATGATCCTTCAGCAACAATTCTATTATTATTATTATTATTATTAATAATAATAATAATAATATTATCAGTGTTTAAAATGTTTGGTCTGCTTCATATTTTTGTGGTACTTTACATTCATATGTTTTATTAATCAAGGACACAATACATTTTTCAATATTAAAATTGAAGTCCTTAATGTAATATTACTTTATTTAATTTCAAACTAATGATGTTATTTTGAGGTTTTCTTTTCAGTGAAGAATCCTAAAAAGTAAAATGTGTCACATTCTCTACTTGGGTTACCGGTATGATGACAGTATAGTGATACTAAATCTCCAAAATACTGTCGTTGCCACTGCTGTTTGTAAACGATAGTGTCATCATTAATGGTCTATCTACAATAATGTTGCATGTGGAAAAGTCACTAAAACGCTCACACGTTTGTGCAACAAACAATTTTATTTGAATAGGCTGTGGAGCCTTTTAAGTTTGCAAATCTGTAGAATTCACACCTTTCATGGTAGCCTATTGCACGTTTTCTGACACTTTAGTTTGAATCTGAATCAGTTCATTTCTGTTCCTGTCAATATGGTTTAGTAGCTACCACAACCGCAACAATCTTTTAAAAAGAAAAACTCACAAAGTAAAGTTTTTAATTACTTTCGATTCTTATCTGATAAGGCTGAAAAAAAAAACAATAGATGAAAAGCTCAAAATAGCAACAGGAAATGTTGAAAGAGATTTTGACCGCTTCATATAGCCTAATATTCTTGAAATAATGCTTTTTTTGTAACTAATTTTATTTGGTATAATTTGTATCTTTATTTTTGCGTGTTTTATTGTTGGTCAGTTATCTACAAAATAAACAAAAGGAATGAATACATTTTAGGTAAAGTAACCTGCAAATAATATTTTTGTTCAATTATAAGGAAATTAGGAATTCAATTCAAGTAGGCCCATTATAACATTTTAAAATATAGTATTTCTGACAGTTTTCTTTATTTCATAGGTTTGAGTTATGAATTACAGTATCGCATTACTACTTGGTATCATGATACTTTAGCTGGTACAGTATCGTAACATTAATTAATGGTATTGTGCCAACCTTAGTTTCTACAAAACAATGATGATGCAGTACCAATAATAACTTATCATTATAGATCTGGAAAATTAGCGTATTAGTATGAATTCTAAAGGATCATGTGACACGGAAGTATGAAACATGACATTGCATTTAAAACTACATTCATTAAGAAATGTTTTAAATATACTGTGTTTTTTTAGTCAAATCAATGCACATTGTTTGACCAAAGTATAACAGGGATTCTTGGGGAAATAAATGTTGGTTTTGCATTTAAATCCATTATTCTATCTGATTTTTTTTATGAAAAGTAAAAAAATATATACAAAAGAAAGTGGGGAATTCACTCTCTTACACGGTTCCCTTCCAAAGAATGATTACTTCTGCCTTATCTTTCTCACGTCATATCTGTCATGTACTGTAGCTTCTTCTTATTTTCACTTTTCTGTAACTTCTGTTTTCTCTGAAGGGGGAAGACTGGCTCTTGCCCTCCAATAAGCTGAAGCTGGATAAGGTGAAGGACGATGACAGTGGGAGATACACCTGTTCTGCTCAGTCACCCACTGTACGATCCCTCATGAAGAAACGTACCATCAGCATCACTGTTCTAAAAGGTTAGAGCTGCCAGAAGGAGATGATAATGTCTGACGTACAGTAAACAGCTTATATATACACTTGAGATGTGCCACTTGAAATTTTATTGTTAAATGAGCAGTTTTCTAAGATTTATATGTTTAGTTTCAGTAATTTCACTTTTATAGCGATGAATCGGTTCTTAGAAGTTAGTATTCATAGTATTCATTTTTTTTATGTTAGCCTTATTCCAAAATGGATTAAATTAATTTATTTGCTCACAATTCTACCCACAATGCCCCATAATGACACTGTGAAAAAAAAAAGATTTTTTGATTTGTTGCACATTTAATAAAAATAAAAAAAACTGAAAAATCACATGTACATAAGTATTCACAGCCTTTGCTGTGAAGCTCTAAATTGAGCTCAGATACATTCGGTTTCCACTGATCATTCTTGAGATGTTTCAGCAGCTAAATTGGAGTTCACCTGTGGTAAATTCAGTTGATTGGACATGATTTGAAAAGGCATACACCTGTCCCAGTGTTGACGGTGCATGTCAAAGCACAAACCAAGCATGAAGACAAAGGAATTGTCTGAAGACCTTCGAGACAGGATTATTTTGAGGCACAAGGCTGAGGAATGTTACAGAAAAATTTCCAGATACTAAATACTAAATACTTTCCGGATGCACTGTATATATAATGTAAATATGTGTACACACACACACACACACACACACACACACACACACACACACACACACACACACACACACACACACACACACACACATACATATTTTGGTGGTGATCATGATTAATTGTTTGACAGCACTAGTTATTATACACAGTATGTTCATAGTGCCTTTTTAATCTATTTGTCTCCATTAACTTTCATAATATGCTTCTTTCTTAAAAAGACTAGATAAAAAGGTAATTTCTAAATGATACCCCATGGCCAGGATAGTATCTATGGTATGACTGCACATAAACTACATCTGACAGTTGTGAGGATTATAGCTCTAAAAGCTTATATCTAGATATATTTATTGGTAGAGCACTTTTCGAAATCCATGTCGTTTCAGCAGCTTCATATATGTATAATTGTGCCTCAGGGCCTATTTCTTTTCAGTGATCCAATAACAAATGGATTAAATGCGTTTCCAGCTGTAACTATGAAAGAGTTCAAATGCGAATGAGCTCAAAACATTTAAAGCATGTTTACATTTGTATTATCCACTTGTAATTATGAAAGCCGGTTTAAAACCTGGTGTAATTAGGGGTTTAATGTCTTAAAATTAGGCAGAGAACAATAACCGGTTTCAAGGTTTACCACAGTTTGGAAAAGTAACAGTTTTAAAACTTTTGAAAACGATATATGTACTTTTTTGTAATATGTTTTCAAAGACTAATTTATTAATTTTTAGCGCAACAGTATCGCCAACAGTTAAGGACCATCCACATTAAAAGCTACTTGTCGGCCCATGATTTAGCAAATCTTTGAAAAACAAAGGACCTGACCTAGTCTAGAGGATCTGGACTAGACCTGACCAGTGCAGTTGCTTATTTTTATCCAAAGAAAAGAATATATGTAGATTTTCAAAGATTCCTTCTTAAGTTGTTAAGACATCTGTTTTTGATGCTTATTGATATAGCAGAAATAATCAATGATTTAGTTTAATTATTTAGACTGATATATATATATATAGCCATGTTTACTGTTCCAAAAATATTTCAAATGTTTCTTAAAAAAAAAAATTGTGATTAATGGAAAAAAAGAAAAAGACATTTGAAAAAAACATATTTTAGAGCAGTAATTCCAATACTGTGAAGCAGTGATATATTTATCCAAGTTATCATACCATCACTATAAAAATGTCCAGTAGATTCAAAGTGTAAAAATTATGTAATTAAATTGATGTAAGCTTAAAGTCAATAAAGAACAAGTGATTGCATTTGGATTTGATCTTATATGAAGACTATAAAGTCAATTACTTTATTTGCTCTATTATGCACTAGTGAATCATTCACAATAAGACCCAAATTAAGAAAGTTAATAGGATTGGATTTAATATTGACAGTTCCCCATAATTAGGCCTGCCCAAGTCTGAACAACTAATACCAAAATATTGAGTTTTTATCCTAAATCTATATTTCCAATGAACATTTGTATCATCTCATTTGTGGTTAGAAGTATAGTTAGTATTTGAAGTATAGTTAGACATTTAGATTTAAATAGATAATGCACTTGAAGCAAGTTACTGTATCTATGTATTTCATTCCATACACATTAAAATCCATCAGAAGGCCACAAAGAAGCTTATCTTGAAATGTGTTTGCAATGTATACAAAAAGGGTTACTTGTTAGTTATTTTTAGGAATCAAACATTTGTAATTAAATAATTTTAGCTATTATTATTTTAAAAAATAATTTATATATTTATTTTCCTGTCTCTGTGGTCTTTAATACGTTGGGAAGACCAATTGACAATTAAGATTTCATCTGGAAAGATTGGGTATTCTGAGTTTGAATCCCAGCTCACATATCTTTTCCAAACCCATTCTCTCTCTTTCTCTCTCTCTTTTCAACTATGCTTCCTTTGGCTAACTACTGTCCTATAAAAATAAAGTCAAAACACAAAAAATAAATCTTTAAAAAATTAAATAAAATTTGAATCAACGAACACAGATTTGCCTTAAACAGAACTGACAGTAATTCACCTGTATCTTTGAGTTAAACCACTCAGAAATTGTATTGTTATTTTGTGGAATAGATATGGTACTTCCGATGCGTCATTATACAGATTTGGAACGCAAATTATTGCAAACTGGATTTTTCAACTAATTGCAGTACAAACAAATATATTAAAATGTTATTTAATTTGAAAAAAAAAAAATTCTTTGGATATGTGTTATTTGTTAATGATATAGTGAAAATTGACTGATTTAACATGTGTGGCGTTCACATTCAATGGCATGTGAACACTGAGGAAGTTCCTGTTTACTGAAACATGTTGAATTTTAACATGTGCCGAACACTTTTTTTGCACATTGTACAAATAAAATAAGATTGCTAGTATCTCGGCAAGTAATCCTTTTTATGTACACTGCAAATACAATTCAATATGAGCTTCTGCTTTTGCCTTCTGATAGATTATATTATTACCATGAAATGGATATAGTTCCATGAATGGAACTAAGCGCAGGTTTTTTTCAGTTTTGTATTCCATACATATTCACATTAAATATTATAGTAAAGTTTGTTCAAAGAATTAAAGCACAGTTTAAACATGTGTACTGTATAACAGTAAAACCCTGGCATGACATAACAAAGCAACCTGCAAAACCATACATCAAAAAATTGCAAATCAGTCCTTATAGATACTTTGTTTGTTGTGAACAACAATCTGACGTTATCTGACATTTCGAATTAGCAGAAGTTATTGCTCCACCAATTATGTCATCCAAAATATCCAAAATTATGTGACGTCAATAACTACAATTCTAACCGATGTGGTTGAAATGATGTTTGGGAAACAACCCTAGTGACCGACTAGTTCCTCCAACAATAAATAATGCTGCGATAATCACATGCTTTCCAGAGATCATGAAATTTCTGGAGTATCGTGAAATGTTGATGGATGTTGCATTTTGGGTGGAAATGAAAATCAGGTTGATGTCAGAACCCAGAAATGTCCAACGTCAGACAGACTTTGCATGTTGGTTACTTTTCAATGCAACCTGTTGTGTGGACGTTACCACTTTGACGTCTATCAGAGGTTGGATTTTGGTTGCCATACCTGAAGAATAAATGTATTTGACGTTTAAGATGATGGCGTGGCGTTGTATTTTGGTCAGTTTCCAACACAAACTAATATCAACCAAATATCAACGTCATTTCATGTCGTTATTGGACATCAAAATACCATTGTCCTTAGCATGTGACCTTCATGTTAACCTTATATTAACGTCTTATGATGTTGTGTGTCTGCTGGGAAGGTTAGGCAGTTTTTAGCTTCATTTTCGTCAATCTTAGCTTCAATCTCAAACGCAGTCACCATACTGTACCTGTTATATAAAGCAAACACATGAGTACAACATGAATAGATAATTCACATCAGATCATTTTTCTTAGAAAGTCTGAGGTGCATTATTTATTGTTGTTTTCATGGTGACTATTAAAGTGATGCAAAATGATATTAAGGCTAAAACCATCTAAATGTTGTTGTTATTTTGACATTATCCTAATATTTTATATTTTTTATAATATAAGCAGTTTTTAGTTAATGAAAGTCTGGGAATAAATTATATTTGGTTTAAAGTAGGAACTCTGTAATCAGTAAGTTATGTGGTTGTTTAAGTTCTTGGGGAGTATTTTTTATTCTGTTATTTATTTTGGTAGCAAGACAACTTGACATGTATAATATGTAATCTTGTCTTTGTCTCATAGAGGACGCAGCATGGTATGAGTCAACCATTGGTCGCATTGTTCTGGTGGTTTGTCCTGGATTTGTCCTTCTGGCGGTTGCGGTAGCCATGACAACTTTCCTCTGCCACAGATCTAAGCAGAGGCAGAGCAAGGGTCCCATGTAAGTATTTTAAACTCCCCTTGTCATGTTTTCTGGAAATGTCTGCAGTGATTCCTGTTGGCGTTTGACCTCAAGCCCTGTCGAGTGTGTTACTGTGAGCATCAGTCGATGCACATTCTCCCTCTGTGTCTTCTCAGTTCCTCAAAGCTGTCCAGGCACACTAGTTTATGTGCAAATAACTGGCTCGCTATTCGCACCACTCCCCCAGGCCCAAACCTTTTCCTATTCTGCCCGATAAAACACTCTGTTGTATAACACTCACTCTGTCGTCCTTTCAGTGATAACTGTTCCCAGAACAAAAGAAACCCGTCTAACAGAGTAGCTTACATTAAACTGCTTGTTAGTTTCTTTTCAAATGGAGGAACATGTTAGCATAGCAATAATATTTCAGAGCAGAGAACATCTTTTTTATGAATCCACTCTGCTTGCTGATCTCAATGTTCTCCTTTGTGATGCTGTTTTGACAATGTGTGAAGTAAGCAATAGGTACAAGGTTCTGGCTTGATAAATGTTGCTTTAATGAAAGCACACTTTAGTTAAAAACATAGTTTTTAACCAAACATTAAAATATACACGCTATTTTTTCACACTGAGGTGGTTCCAAAGCTTTATTCTGCTGAACCACAAGAAGATATTTAGAAGAAACAAGGTGTCTGCAGGGTTTTAAAAAGTATTAAAAGTTGATAATCAATAATGAGAAAATTAAGGCCCTTAAAAGGTATTAAAAAGTCTCATTTTAACAAGGTCTTACATTTTGTTCAAGCAATGTCCAAGTTGTTTGTCTCCAAAAAAAAAAAAAAATTAAATTTTCCATATTAACATTAACCACGGCGTGCTTGATCCACACAATTGGTTCAGGCTGTTGCACGTCTGGCCAAGCTCCTCTGTCCGGGTGATGTGACGAAATTTGCGACAAACGCAGGAAGGTGTTGTGATGCTCTCCACATGTTGCGAAACCATAGAGTGAAACAGACAGCAAAATGGGAAGATTTAAGTTTGCGTACTCCTGGTTTGAGAAAGACGAGTTTAAACAGTGGCTAAAGCCTGTTGCTGAAAAATACTGTGTAATTTATAAAAGATTTTTTTACAACCGCGAAGAAGCTTTGTTTCTTGTGAGTTTATCTAAGTTCTGTTGCATGGTTGTGCTCCATTGACTACTTCAACGATGAGGTAGTGATGGGTCGTTCATAATCGATTTGTTTATTTGAACGAATCTTCAATATGACTCGGGAACTACGAGTCCTCTAAGGGAGTGATTTGTTCATCCGCACGTGCGCACATTTGTGCAGGTTAATTTCGTTAATTTCAAGTCTTCATTACATTGGCAGAAGCCAATCATATGCGTTTAGAGCTGGAAAAAGAATTGATCCGTTCACCTCTCGAGTCCTCGATCGGGTCTGAGTCACTCGTTCCTCAAGGGCCAATCATATGCGTTTAGAGCCGGAAAAAGAATTGACCCGCTCACCTCTCGAGTCCTCTATCGGGTCTGAGTCACTCGTTCCTCACGGACCAATCATACGCATTTAGAGCCGGAAAAAGAATTGAACCGTTCATCTCTCGAGTCCTCGGGTATGAGTCATTCTGTCATGCGATGAACGAACGATCATGGCTCCTATCGGCTTAGACTGTGCATTGATTAAGATTATATGTGACTGTCAGTGTAACGTGAATGAACCCCTGACATTTGAAGACATGAAGAGGTGAGCTGTGCAAAGAAACAAAAACGCATTCATAGACAATAGAGCAGGAAAACATTAGATTATTATTTTCTCCTTCGTATATTCTATTTATAATTTTTTTGTCGTGCAATCAACCTTTTGGGCTTGTTGTAGATGTGTTTGAAAGCCATTCGTAACATTTTAATAATATTTTGGCCAATTGAACCAAATGAACAAAATGACTCGAAAAAAGATTCGTTCATCTTGATGAAAGAGACTCAAATATCCGAGTCAATAAAATGATCCCTGCATATACCCTCAGAAAGCTGAAAACTGGTAGCAAGTAGCTGTTTCCATTCAATGATGCAAGTCAATGATAAAACTGAAATGTCACATAAAACGTTGGCGAATAAAGCACCGTTTCCATCAAGTGAGTCAAAAAACCCGCCCCAAATCATCACTAACTGTTAAATCGCCATTAGACATCAAAAACAAAATATGAACTTACTGCAGTAGGAGACACTGTGGGCCTTGTTTTTCTGACATATCTTTTTTGGCTCTTTCAATTGAAGAACAACATTCAGACAATTTGGAAAAAGTCAAGGGTGGCTAGATGACAGAATTCCAAAATAAAAGTAACAAGCGAGGGCTGACATCGAGCTAGAAATATCTAGATGGTTACATACAGTTATACAGTAATTGAGATGTTTATTCAAGAAATTCATCACAAAAGGTGAAAGTACTGAGAACTACTGCTCCTGAATGAACCACTAAGTGAATTGGTTGAATGAATGATCACTCTGCCCAATACCTTAATATAGAGCCCATTCTGATGGGACAGCAATATGTAATTGTCCAAAAACCACAGTGGACTTTTTTTAAGTGCACACATTTAATCTTATAATTGTGCGTTTTTCAACAAAGACATACTGACAGTGCATATTTTTAATGTCTCTTTCATGTGACAATGCTTTTCAGGACATTTCAGTGTCCAAAATCACATCTATCTGAAGCTAGATTTGAATTTGAACTTAAATCATAAGCATTAAAATGTATGTTCTAAATATTATGAATGAAATTCCTATGTATTACCTCACATCATGTTATTATCACATGACCTGTCGGCGTCAGTCGCATCTCTTTATTAAATAAATGGATACATCCTCTCCCACTGCCTCCTTGGGTAGTAAAATGTCCATTGAATGCACGCTTTATGGCAAGTGTGTGATTTTGGATGCAGTGGGAGTCTCTGTTAGTGAGCTGATGAGTGCAAATGTGTAGTGATGATGTGCCTCAAGGAACAGGCTTGGGAAATATGTCCATAAAGCACCTTATTCTGGCCGATAAAACACTCACTTTGTCATATTTTCCTCTCTCATCCTCTCAGTGATGACCGTTCCCAGAAGAAACCCATCTACAGGTCCAGCGTGGAGTCTCTACCCTCCACTCTTTCTGACAAGCAGCCGCTGGTGTAAAGAGTGAGATTGATGGAGGACTGGAGAGGAGAGAAAAGAAGACAAGAGGAAAAAGATGAGGCTGTATTGGCTATTCAGAGTAGAAGGGAGTTAATGAGAGTGTTGCACATAGATTTTGTTATGCTCTCGGGTCTTTATTCAGATATGTAATTAGAAGACTGTCTATGGGGGGAATCGAAAAAAGTATATATACAAAGACAGGACAAATGGTGGTTTTATCCAAAGTCCTTTCCAGCATGGATGGCAGCAGTGCTTTTCAACAAAAGGTGTGCAATTTTCTCTGTATTGATTCAACAATCCTGCAAAATTGAGAAATGCTGAAAAGATGTTTTTGCGAGGTGACATTGAACGCTCCTTTCTTCCCACCAGTCTTGGGGTTGGTGTATTTCTTCAAAGCGATTAAGATTTCTTTTTAGGAAAACCAGCGTCTGCGAGCTGCACTATCGTTTAGTCAGATGAATAAATTTGGTGGGTATTGCTTTACATAAGTACATAAATGTTCCGCTTCACTTGAAAGACAGTAGATAAGATCCAAACCAACACTGAACCAATTACTCTTGAAGCACTTTCAAACTCTTGCACTTTTTACACAAGTTTGATTATTTTTTTTCTCTGTATCTTTGAATTTAAAGCTATTAAAATCATTTTACAACATAATCACCCTGCAGTGTTGTTACTGATCTAATTAAGATAGACATTAATGTATGCTCAACTTTGCTTAGAAATCTCAAGAGAGTTCATCTCTATGTAAATGCCATTGCTTCTGTTTATAAAAAGCTCTTTTTCATTTCAGACTTCTTAGCTATAAATAAATACCTGTTCTCAGCCAGACATGTTCTTATACATAACACATCTTCGTTTGATTTGTTGACCATTTTATATATATATTATGTTTAACAGAGCAAGGAAGCAAGAATAGTCACAGTATTTATATGTGTGTGTGTGTGTGTGTCTGTGTGTGTGTGTGTCTGTGTGTGTGTGTGTATTAGGCAAGTTATTGTATTACTGTATAACCATGGTTTGTTCTGTACACTATTAAAAAAATATATAGCTTAAAGGGGCTAATAATGTGACCTCAAAATGAGATTTAAAAAAATAAAAAAACTGCTTTTATTCTAACTGAAATAAAAGAAATAAAACTTTTTCCAGAAGAAAAAAAAATGATCAGACATACTGTTAAAACTTAGTTTCTACTTCAGAATAGGAACTAACCTGGCACAATAGTAACAACTGGTGACCAAAGAGAGGGACTGAAGCTAATCAGACTTGTCAATGGAACCACACCAATTCATATAGCAAGAAATAATGCTTCATTTTTATTCTGGGCTGGTATTATACCCAGTGGGTAGTAACTAAATATACAATATTTCTGTCAAGTCCATGAATAAAGCTGAGAATGTGTCAGAAAGCTCTTTGAATACAAAAGAAACGGGGAAAATACATCCATAAAGGCCTCGAGGCAGTCCTGAGGTGTTCTTTCAGAATGTACAATATCTAATCTTTACATGCTGCCACAAGCCCAGCTTGGTTTGACATTTCCACAAACAACATGAACTGGAATTGCCCGCACTATAAGCACACACACCACATAACCACAAGTGTGTTTCTTAATTTTACCCTCCAATGCTTTAACCTTAGCAGTTCATCACTGCAAACATTATCATAGCCGCTCATTTCATTTCTCCTGTCTGCTATATTTGTGTTTCATTTTGTGTGGCTTTTATTGCCATTGTGCGGCTGACCAGAAGCCACCATTAATAACTGTGTTTGGTGTGCTTTAACGATGACAGTTCATTACCGGAGGTACACGAAATGGAATACAACAATATTATTACACAAATTATTCAAGATTTCTCGTCCTCTACAGTGGTTATTCACAAAGTCCTTGAAAAAGAGGAAATAATTGCACCGTAAGCTCTTTGGAGTAGCACAACTTAAAATGGCTATGGACCTAAAAGGAAAACTCCCCCCTTTTAATTTTGCTTTCTCTTGGGGATCTTCAAAGTACATGGCCTGCAGCAGAAAAATCTCCAAAAGGGTCAAACGTTTCACTTTTACATCATCTAGATAATGGACGTTCATAAAAAAAGAGTCCTGCATAATAAATCTTTTAAATGTATACTGTTTTACTGCAGTTTTTAGTGCTGTAGGACATGTCCTACACTTCTGATTTATATAAACCCTCTTTTCCCCCAGCACTGTTTACTTAGAAATAATCCCAAACATCAAAAAACATTAAGTTGCTGCCTAAATACTTTGGTTTGAAATTCCAATTCACTTTGGATTTATAAAAGTGATGTGTGAAGCTATTTTTTTAACGTCTTAGGGTACTCACCTACTATGTTGCTTGTTCATTCATAGTTTTTTTTCTCATTAAAGTGGCATGTTTGCTTCAAATTATTTATGCTTAGACCAAATACTTTCAAAAGGTTTGATGTGTGCAGGCTAATTATAAAACACCCTGGCAACTGTGACTCACTGTACTGTATGTAGAAAAAAAGAAGCAAAGCAAACTGTTATTTTTATCTTGAATAGGTGAACAAATAATGTACTGTAGGAAATCCTTCAGTTTCTGGCTGCCCTTTTCTTGGTACAGTAGAGTCTTATAAGTGGTTTTATGAGTAAAAATAATTAGAAAAAGCAGTTGTCTCTCTAATAGGAAACAGTAAAAACAAAACATACTGTATTTTGTTGCAAGGAGTTTTGTTCTTTTTTTCCCTTTTATTTGGCTGTTGTTACTGGACATATTTTAACATCTGAGTTAATTTTTTAATAATATGTGGTAAGTTTAAAATTAACCTGACTATCAAAGCTTGTTTTTCAAATACTTTATAGGGAATTCACAGTTTAAAACTCTTTAACTTTTTGGTGTGTGAATTATGTCCTTATTTGCATAATATTAAAAATAATAATTTCTAAAATAATTTGAAAATTATACATTTTCATAACATCAGCATATACTCACACAAGTATGACTTATGAAGATAGATTCGAACCTAATGGCTGCATTATGTAACCAGGACAGCAGTATTTGTATTAAATGTGGCATACATTACAATGTTAAAATGTTTGTTGGCCATAACAATGACATTGATATGTATTTTAGGCTGTTTTGTTTTTTGTGCTTCATAGTTACTAACCTTGTAACCTTTTACAGTAAGGTTACATTTGTTAACATCAAATATAGTAGCTATTAATTTTAGCTAATGCTAATTATTTTTAATAAACATTCAATGTTTATTAACTAAGGTTTACAGTTATTAAATAACATAACAAATGTATAACAATTTGTAAACATACGGGATAATGTTAGCATATAGACAATTTGTTGTTTTCACCTAAAAAAGAAGCATAAAAGTAATATTATATTCAACAGTATATAGTATAGAGAATATCAGGGCAAGCTTTCACACAGTTCAAAAATCTTGATTAAATTATACATTTTCTTTGGTAAATGATGTCCTGAATAAACAAACAAACAAATAAATAATTTAAACATGTATTTTCACAACACCAGCATATATTCACACAATTCTAATTTATGAAGATAGATTTGAACCTAAAGTCTGAATTAGGTAACCAATACAGCAGTATTTTTCATAAAACCTGGCATACATTACAATATTACAATGATTGTTGGCCATATCAATGATATTGATTCATACAGTATGTATCTTTTACATGTGCTTTTTTGTGCTGCATAATAACTATTAATTGTATAACCCTTTACAGTAAGGTTATATATGTTAACATTAATTAACATGAACATGGTTATTAATTTTATTTTATTTTCTTTTTATGATGCATTTGCAAACATACACTATGCACAGCTGTAGGTTTTTAACTAATGTTTAAAATGATTAAATATTGCTTATTCTAAGAAAAAGTTAGCAATACATTATAATGCTATCTAACTGATCTTGTGGGAAAGCATATAGACAATTTGTTATATTAAAGAAGCATATAAATGAATGTCCTTGTAGAAAATGACAGGAAATGTTCTGTTTATATACAGTTAAAATCTTTATTATTTTTCTGATATTTCCCAAATGACGTTTAACAGAAAAAAAAAAAAACTTTCATGTGTATAAAAATATGTGTATGTATAAGAATGTGTATAAATGTATATTTTCTCAGTTACTTGGGAAATATTTAAAAAAAGAAGGAACATTTAACAGGAGGACTACTTTAGCCTTCAACTGTTTAACAAAAACATGTTTTTTTAAAAGAAAAAAAAAATTAATTTAGAATCAATCTGTCAACGCCTTACATTAATTAAACAATTAATTATGCAGGATATTATGCCTTTTTAATATTGTTTTTTTCTGCAATATTATGTTCTGTAATCAAGGTAAAGACAATTTAAATTAGTGATTAGAATATATCAAAACTATACAACTTTATAATTAAAACTATAATAAAACTATGTATAGAATGTGTTAAAATAAATGAATATTTTCTCGGTTAAACAACATTTGGGACATATTTGAAAAATAATTTTACAGGAGAAGTAAATTTTGCCATCAACTGTATATTAAGCATGTTTTTAATGTATTTTAAAATGTACTTTATAATTTTTAAAAAATCAATGCGTTGCATATTACTTTATGCCAGAAAATTATGGATTTTTAATGTAGATTTTGTTTTGCAATGTTGCATAAAAACTAAATATGTGACTACTTTCCCCATCTTGTGTGACAACATTCAGTCAGCAAAGTTTAAAATTGTTCTATAAGATTTCATTGTAGCCTAATATATTGAGAAAAATATGAACTAGCATGACGACAACTAGCCCTATAGCATCCTCAGTGCCTCCCCATTGAAAACCAAATTGTTATTCCTCACATCATCACACGGTGTCGCTAAACACAAGCTATGAATTCCCCAAGAAAGCCAACAAATTGTTTTCGGTTTTAATTACGCGAGTTTGAGGAAGATATTAAAGTCGTGCTCGAGCTGCTTTCATGCCAGCTTGCTCGCTAATGATCGCGTTGATTCTGCTCGTCGATCTGTACACTCCTCACAGCAGAATGAATCACTTTCTAATTCCTTGTTCTGAATGGGTCCCGTCAGTGAATCTGTCATTTATCTCTGACGGATCCAGATAGAGACTCATTTAAAAAGCCCAGTCTTCCAGTAAATTCCAATTATTTATATTCAGAGCGTTCAAAAACTTTATCGATCGCCACTGTAATTCATCAAGTTAATATATGTGTATATGGAGTGGCTCGTTTGGAAGGCAGGACTCATTCCAGCAGAGGCTGTTATTACAGTGTCATGAATCCGCCGTCTTTCTGATCAAAAACAAACGGTTATTTATCTTATAATATTAATCATACCCCGCCCTGATTGGGTGTGCGCGCCGGTCATTGTCAAATCCGATTGGTTGTGGCTGAGCCCAAGAAAAACCGGCCCTGCTACATTTTACATTTCATCTTTCATTGAGAGCGTGCATGTGTATGTGTGTGTGTGAGTACTAGTATGTAACACACAACCGATTCCAGCGAACACTGGAGTTGAGGAAAGACACAACTCGTAGGTGAAAGCCTGCGCGCTCATGTTATTCTAATTCCCATCAGAGGAAGAGGAATAAACTGAGAGATCGGAATAACACACACATGATGATGGCATTTTCTTCTGTTTGGAAGTATTGGGCC